GGAGGCCGTGCTGTCACTGACCTGCCGGACCCGCTCCGGGTAGGGAAGCCGCCGCGGGTCCACGACCCCCTGCGTGCTCGTGCAACACTGCACGTGATGGCACTCACTGTCGCAGAGCGGGCCGCCCCCCAGCAATTTGCCCACTACTTGGCTGAGCAGGTTCCCCATTTTCGATCACAAAGCGTTCCTCCCAGCGCTTGTAGAACATTTCCGCGCGGGGCTTCAGGTAGTGGATGAAGAGGAAGCTGTAGGGCTCCCGCGTCGCTTCCTGATAGATGGCCTGCAGCTCCTGCTTGGGGAGCAGGGCCGTCAGTTCCTCCAGCACGGCCTCCAGCTCGAGCTGGTTGCGGAGGCGCCAGACGCACATGAACTGCATGTTCACGCGCACGGCGGCGCTGATGAGCCGCAGTTTCTGGGAGGACACCCACGTGGAGATTTGCATGTGCCGCCCTCGAATGAAGAGAGTATCGAGCGCCCCGTCGCCGGTGCGGCGGTGGAGCTCCGGTTGGTCCGCGAAATCGTCGATCACCACGAGGATTTGAAACAGCTTTTTGAAGCCTAATTCCTTGGTTTTGCGAGTCACCTTCTTCTGCTGCTCGATGATGCCGCGCAGGGCCCCTTCGTCCCATTGGTCGAAATAAACCTGCTCCCGGTCCGTGTTGACGCCCATGTCGTGCTCGATGAAATGCTTGACGGGCTTCCAGGCATCGTCTATGTCAATCGAAGGCGACATGATAATGACTCTTTCAAAAACGGATTCACCGCTGGCCGTGCGATACTGGTCCAGGATGGCGCTGATGAGAGCCACCGTCTTGCCCGATTTCGAAGGCCCGAGGAAGATGCCAGTGCACGGCACGCGGGGAACGATCGGGTCGCGTGGCTGTTTTGACGAGAACTCGGGGGTGGGAAACAGTTTCACCCTCCCCATGATGCGCTTTTAACCAGAGCGCTTTGTAGCACTCGTAGAGGCAGCACATTTACGTGATGTTCCCCTCGTGCCACGGCCCCCGCAGTCGCATTGGGTGGTGGCCGGGCGGCGCGCCGGGGCTGGACAGGAGACACAGGGCCACGAAGACGCCGGCCAGGGCCAGTCCGGCGCAGAGGCACTCGCTGGGCTCCACGCCGACGCGTTCAAGCCAAGACATTCTTTTTCTGGCGGAAAGAAAACCGGGATGAGCTCAGACCAGCGAACCTTGCCGACCATGGCGATCCAGCTCGGGGAGCTTCTGACCAACATCAAGGGCGGCAAGAGCCTGCCCCTGCGCCGCGAGGGCAGCAGCGAGCCCGTCGTGTGGCAGTCCGCCGAAGTGCAGAAGATCATTTGGCAGCCCGCGGCTTTTAACGACGCCGACGCCAAGCGCGTGCCCATCTGCCTCGAGCCCGAGGAAACCGCCGGGCGGGAGCTGGAGGAGCTCGAGAAGCAGGTGGTGGAGCTGCTCTCCAAGCAGTCCTGCTCGGACACCAAGATCTTCGGCAAGGCCCTGGCGCCCCACGAGGTGGAGGCCCGCATGCAGAGCTGCCGGAGGACCAGCGCCCGCGGGAACAGCTTCCTCAAGTTCAAATTGAACTGGGACCGCGTGCGCGTCTGGGACGCCAGCGGCCAGCCGCTGCTGGAGTTCGGGGACCTGGCCGGCCGGAGCTGCAAGGTGAAGGTCGAGCTGCGCCAGTGCTGGCTGATGCCCCCGAGCTGGGGCATCCTCATCAAGATCACGGACTTGATGCTCATGGACTCAGCCCCGCCGCGGGTTGAGTGCCCCTTCTAGCCGGTGTGGTGCACCTGTGGTGCACCTGTGGTGCACCTGCCTGAGTGCATCACCCTAGAGCACGGACAGCAGCTCGGCGCTAGTGGGCTTCGAGGCGCCCACGTACAGGTGGCGCAGCTCGAAGCGCGGGCTGGCGGTGTCGCACAGATGGACCCGCCCCCGTAGCGTGAGGCCCTGGCAGCTGGCGTAGGTGATGGCGTGGCAGAGCCTGGTGTGGCGCAGGAGCTCCGCGTGGGTGAAGCGCTCCCCCGTGTCGAGCTTCACGTCGTCGGGCCCCGCTTCGGCCACCGAGAGGAAGCAGCCCTTGGCCACCTTGCCCCCGGCGCCCACCAGCCTCAGGCCCGGCCAGACCCGCATCGTTTGCGGGGCGTTGTGATCACAGGGCTGCCTGCGCAACTTCCGAAGTGCTCGCCTCCCAGGCTCTCGCTCTTGAACGGGCTTTTGCGAGGGTCTGCCAGGAAACCGGCGCACGTGTTGCTGGAAATGTCCGCCCAGCAGACATGAACATCGACGTTTCGGCTGGCCCTGGGCATAGCTCGCAGCAAGCCGTGGATGCCACCATCGCCCGCCCCGTTACCAGGGCTGGTGACGCTCAGCCGGGTGCTGGCGTGCACCCTGGCCGAGCCGTCGATGGAGGCTGGCGACGCAAGCGCTTTCATTTCAGACTTATTGACCCATGGGGCTGTGGGAAACAGGCGCGAGGAAAAAATAGACCCACCGGCGGAGTCAGGCGCCGCGAGAGTGCAACTGCGGCCGTTCCGTGCGAAAGTCGGAGGGCGCACCGGAGGCAGATGGAGGCAGGCTCTGAGGGTCGCACACCTCGGCGAAATGTCCGCCCGCCACCGCTGAGACTCTCTCTTGTACAGCAGTGTCTCCGCCCCACAATCGATCGTCTACGCAGGAGCTGATTCAAAATCGAAAGGGTGTTGAGCCTACAGCCTCGGGTCAAAAACGAAAGATCGAGAGGGCTCAGGGCCGTAGGACGCAAACGATCTTCGGCCCTTTAGGCCCAAAATTAGCTCAACGATTGTGGACCCGAGCGGACCGAGCGGAGCGTCGCGGCCGCTAGCAGATCCACCTTCTCCTTGATGATGTCGTTCAGCTCCTTCGCGAGGGTGGCCTGGCGAGCACAGCGGCCGCATAAGTCCCTGGAGTGTTGCCCGGCCTGCTCTGGGAGGGTCAAGGATCGCAGTTGACGACCCCGTTCGGTCTCCCCCAAAGAGAACAAGTGCTGAGCTACGGACACACGCTCCATGGTGGCTGCGGCGACCAAAAGCACGCTGCACAACTCTCTACTATTCTACCCTAGTGGGGCACGCTAAGCTGGGGCCTAGGGCCGATGATCCACCCTTGTGGGGAGAGGCTCTAGGTTGTGGCACGGCGGTCCCAGCGGAGACGAGGGGGTTGCCCCACGCCTCAGCGCCCTCAGCGCCCTCCGCGCCCTCAGCTCCCTCATGCGCCCTCCGCGCCCTCCGCGGGGCCCTTAACCCCCTCAGCGCGCTCTCCGCGCCCTCAGCGCCCTCCGCGCCCTCAGCGCAGTCAGCGCCCTCTGCGCCCTCAGCGAGCTCGCTCCGCGCCTCAGCGCCCTCAGCGCGCTCGCTCCGCGCCTCAGCGCCCTCCGCGCCCTCAGCGCCCTCAGCGCCCTCAGCCCCCTCCGCGCTCTCCGCGCCCTCCGCGCCTTCAGCGCCCTCAGTGTGTGCTCCGCGCTCTGCGCGCGCCCTCAGCGCGCTCGCTCCGCGCCCTCAGCGCCCTCAGCGCCCTCCGCGCGCTCTCCACGCCCTCCGACCTCAGCGCGCTCGCTCCGCGCCTGCGCGCCCTCAGCGCCCTCTGCGCCCTCAGTGCTCTCAGCGCAGTCAGCGCCCTCCGCGCCCTCATGCGCTCGCTCCGCGCCTCAGCGCCCTCAGCGCCCTCCGCGCCCTCAGCGCCCTCAGCGCCCTCAGCGCCCTCAGCGCCCTCAGCGCGCTCCGCGCCCTCCCGCGCCTTCAGCGCCCTCCGCGCCCTCAGCGCCCTCAGCGCCCTCCGCGCGCCTCTCCACGCCCTCCGCCCTCCCGCGCTCCGCTCCCTCAGCGCTCTCAGCGCCCTCCGCGCGCTCTCCGCTCCCTCAGCGCCCTCCGCGCCCTCAGCGCTCTCCGCGCCCTCCGCGCCCTCAGCGCCCTCCGCGCCCTCCGCGCCCTCAGCGAGCTCGCTCCGCGCCTCAGCGCCCTCAGCGCGCTCGCTCCGCGCCTCAGCGCCCTCCGCGCCCTCAGCGCCCTCAGCCCCTCCGCGCGCTCTCCGCGCCCTCCGCGCCTTCAGCGCCCTCATTGTGTGCTCCGCGCTCTCCGCGCCCTCCACGCCCTCAGCGCGCTCGCTCCGCGCCCTCAGCGCCCTCAGCGCCCTCCACACGCTCTCCACGCCCTCCGACCTCAGCGCGCTCGCTCCGCGCCTGCGCCCTCTCAGCACCCTCCGCGCCCTCATGTGCTCTCAGCGCAGTCAGCGCCCTCCGCGCCCTCAGTGCGCTCGCTCCGCGCCTCAGCGCCCTCAGCGCCCTCCGCGCCCTCAGCGCCCTCTCAGCGCCCTCAGCGCCCTCCGCGCCCTCAGCGCCCTCCGCGCGCCTCCACGCCCTCCGCGCAGCGCGCTCGCTCAGCGCCCTCACGCGCCTCAGCATCAGCGCCCTCAGCGCCTCCGCGCCCTCCCGCGCGCCATCCGCGCCCTCAGCGCCCTCCGCGCCCTCAGCGCGCTCCGCGCTCTCCGCGCCCTCCGCGCCCTCCGCGCCCTCAGCGCCTCAGCCCTCCACGCCTCAGCGCCCTCACCGCCCTCCCGCGCCCTCAGCGCGCTCGCTCGAGCGCGCCTCCGCGCCCTCCGCGCTCTCAGCGCCCTCAGCGCCCCCATGCCCTGTGCCGGGCAAGTTGCAACTTCGGCACAGCATGCGCTCGGCCGGCGAAAATTTCAGCGTCTATTTGACGTGTCTTTCGTGCAAATGTCTTACACTGTTGCAAGCAAGGGCATGTCAAATAGCCTGCAAGTGTCCATCACCCCCCCCCCCCCCCCCGGGGCATCCTCCCACGCTGAACTCAACCCTCCCACCCTCAACTCTAAACCCTACAGCCAAAACCCTAAACACCGTTTTAAACACCAGCTTTTCCAAAACGTAACAGAAAAAAGTAGAATATCATATAAATCATATAAACCAAAGTAGAATAATACATAAACCAAAGTAGAATAACAAATAAACCAAACAACCAACCCCGCAGCTCCGACCTGCGTCCGCTCGGAGACACGCCACCGCTCGTCGAAGGACCGCACCTTCGGTAACGGCAGCCCAAGTCAATGGGTCTATACGTATGTGTATATATATATATATACAGATATGTAGATAAAGATAGATACAGATAGATACAGATAGATACAGATAGATACATATATATATATAGCTATTAAAAGATAGTTTGAAGAGTTGTATGAGCGTTCTACAATTAGTTCTAGCAGTCGCTGCCGGAGTTCTTTAGGGGTTTGTACAGGTTTCTAAGGGTTCCGTAGATTTGGGGGTTTGGAATTTAGGAGTTGAACGGTTCGGGCTCCGTCGGTTGGTGTGCATCACGGGATTTGCCGTTTGGGGTCTAGGGTTTTTGGGGCTTGAGGGCTTGAAGTCGCTTGGCTTTGAAAGCCTTCGCGTGCAGGGTCAGCTTTCTCAGTTCCATGACCGCTGAAGTACACAACACTTACCCGGCTGAAGAATACAATCACAACCCGCTCCCCCTTGAATCGCCTTGGGCCGTGCCATGAACGGCCATCAAGTAATTTAAAACGGCGGGGATTGACCAGAAAACCGTTCACGAACTGTCGGGCTTCTCCCTTTCCCAAAAAAATGACGGCACTTCTTGGCACCGGGTTTCGCCCACCGCAATCCACCTGCGAAATCGCCCAAGCATATTTCGCCCCCAACCCGTGTATCACATAACCCAAAGCCCCTGAACCCCAAACCCTACAGTACTATAGGGCCCATTATGCTACAATTATAAGAAGGAACCCCCAAAACAGTAAAGGTAATTGTTGGGGCCCGTATATTACACCCCCATGAAACCCCTATAGTAACCTTAACAGGAGCCCTGTTTAAGAACCCTTGACAGGAGCCCTAAAGGAACCCCCCCCCCTTACATCTCTCCCTAAACCCTAAACCCTAAACCCTAAACCCCAAATCCCTAAACCCTAAACCTTAAACCCTAAACCCTAAACCCTAAATCCCTAAACCCTAAACCCCCAAACCCCTAAACCCTAAACCCCTAAACCCCTAAACCCTAAACCCCCAAACCCTAAACCCCTAAACCCTAAACCCTAAATCCCTAACCCCTAAACCCTAATGCCGCCCGGGTGCTCCGCTTAGCGCCCCATCCAGGCGCTCGCTCAGCCGATGTTCCCGGGCGACATGGCGCACGTGGGACGCAGCCTTCGTCAATGTTGTTGCGTTTAGGGTTTAGGGGTTTTGGGTTTAGGGGTTTAGGGGTTTAGGGGTTTAGGGGTTTAGGGGTTTAGGGGTTTAGGGTTTAGGGGTTTAGGGCCTAAGGTTTTTTTGGCCAGGGTTTAGTGTTTAGGGTTTACGGTTTCAAGAGTTCTTGTAAGGACTCTTCTCAGGATTCCTCTGAGGGTTGCTTGAAGAGTCCTTTAGGCTTCTGTAGCGTGTCTGGTTTCAGGGTGTAGGGCTCGCTCAGGCTTAATTAGGCTTTGGGTTCGGGTGTTACCAGGGTGTTTAGGGCTTGGGAGTTTCGGAAAGAGCTCAAACAAATTTATCTGGGGTCTCATAGGGTTTGCGTGGGTGTTCTATAGTGGGTTTATGTCCGGTTCAAAACGGTGTTTGAGCTTATGGGTTCAAGGTGCGGGGCTGAGCGGTTCGGGGTTCAGGGTTTAGGCTTGTAGGGGGGTCCGGGTTTAGGGGTCAAGGGCTATAGGGACTCCCGAATAGCACCGTGGCCCAAGGTGCCGCCCACCCACGGTGTAGTGTGCTTCGTGTTTTGCTGTGCAAGATGTCTTCGTCATTGATGTGGTTGGTAAACGTACCAAGTGGTGCTACCAGGGCATTCAGCCGGGGGCGGTCCTACCTGATTTATATGTCTTCGATCCATAATCAAGCCTCCATACGGCGTAAGGTGGGGGAGATTGGGATTTGCGCGGGCTCCTTGGGTGTTCAGGGTGCTTAAAGAGTTTAGGGCCTTATCGGTGCCTTGGCGTGCGGATTTGGGGGTTTCAGGAACGCTTTATGATAGGGCTCCTGACAACATGGATCCTAGCCTTTGGGGGTTAAGGTAAGCCGCTTACTTTCACTACGGGATCCTGCGATTTGGATGCTACTTTTGAATCGTGGCGCTCCTGGCGGTTAGGAGGCCGAAGCCCGCAATTCAAAACAAAATCTCGTAGTTTTGGAAGAGAGGCCCGGGTCTCTTTACAGAGTCGCCTGAGCTTGCCGTTCAAAGCATCACGACAGACTGACTCAGTGACTGAGTGACTGACTGACTGACGACGACGAAAACGACTACTACCACTACGACTGCTACGACTGCTCCGACGACTACTACTACTACTGCTACTACTACTACTACTTCTCCTCCTACTAGTACTACTACTACCCCTACTACCACTGCTACCACTACTACCACTACTACCACTACCACCAGGACTACCACTACCACCAGGACTACCACCACTACCACTACCACTACCACTACCACTACCACTACCATTACCACTACCACTACCACTACCACTACCACTACCACTACCACTACCACTACCACCACTACCACTACCCCTACCCCTACTACTACTACTACTACTACCACTACTACTACTACTACTACTACTACTACTACTACTACTACTACTACTACAACTACTACTACTACTACTACTACTACTACTACTACTACTACAACTGCTACTGCCACTGCCACTGCCACTGCCACTGCCACTGCCAATGCCACTGCCACTGCTACTGCTACTGCTACTGCGCCTGCTACTGCTACTGCTACTGCTACTGCTACTGCTACTGCTAGTGCTAGTGCTACTGCTAGTGCTACTGCTAGTGCTAGTGCTACTGCTACTGCTACTGCTACTGCTACTGCTACTGCTACTGCTACTGCTACTGCTACTACTAACTACAATACTTCTACGACATGACTACAATATTACTATAATACTACTATGATACTGCTATATTGCTACTATAATACTACCATAATACTGCTATACCTAGGGCACACAATGCCCACCTCAAGGCCAAAAGAGCCCATCGATCGGGCCGCCTCTCCGGCAGAGTCCTGGCAAGAGAAGGAAGTTTATTGAGGTAAAGGGCCAGTATAGGGGTTCTTTCACGGGTTTTTTGAAGAGCTTCAAAAATGGTAGCTATAAGTATTACTATAAAGGTTTAGGGCTAAAGGGTTTATAGAGTTAGGTTTCAGGGTTTATAAGTTTAAGGTTTATGGGGTTTGGGGTATTTACAGGATCTAGGGCTTGTAGGGCTTATCGTAAAAGGTTTCGGCCTTATGCTTAGGGCCTAGGGTTGAGGCTTTGGGGCCTTGGGTTTAAGATCTCGGGCCAAGACTTTATGCCGAGGTCTTCACCGAACTGTCTGGGGCAGAGGTTTGCTGAATGCAGGCTCCTGACACCGTTAACCCTAAGCCCTATCAGCCCTGTAAACCCGATAAATACCACAAACTCTATAAGCCCCTAAACCCTATAAACCCTAAAAAACCCTATAAACCATATAAACCCTATAAACCCTATAAACCCTAGAAACCCTATAAACCATATAAGCCCTATCAACCCTATAAACCCAAAAAAACCCTGGACCTTGTAAACCCAAAAAGCTAAACTCCCTGAAGCTCTCCGCGCGAGCATTCCAAGATGAAGGCTTCGGCCCCTGGGCTCCGAATCCTAAACCCTAAACCTTACTTCAAGGATCATGGGACTTAGTAAGTAGGTTATAATTGGGGTTATAAGTCCCCTAAGTGGGGTTACCCTAATTATAACCTACTTAACAGTTAGAATAGGGTTTTGGAGCAAATTATACCATAATTATGATCAGAAACCCCCAAAATAGTGTAAGTAATAATTGAGGCCCCTATATTGAACCTTAAATCCTGAACCCTACACCCTAAATCTTAAGCCCTAAACCTGAAATCCTAAACCTGAAACCCCAAGCCGTAAACCCTGAACTCCTGAAATGCATAGCCCGCAACCCGCAAACCCACAAATCTGAATTGAGCCGTTCTTCAGAACACAGCAATACAGCGGCAGCAACAACAACAAGAAGTGGGTGGTTATCAAAATTAAGGTCCCTTTTGGGGTACCCTAGAAATTAAGTGTCGTACTATATTAGAGACCCCAAAAAAGACCATAATTATGACAGCCGCCCAAGTCCAAGGGGACATAGTCTGAGGAGGGATACGGAATGACCCTGAACCCTCAGTCCCTGAACACTGGACCCTAAACCCTGAACCTTAAAGCACTGAACCCTGAACCCTAAACTCCCTAAACAAACCCGAGAAGCTCCGAGAGATTGCCTCGCGGGTGGTGGCGTAAGCAGCGCCGGCAGCCAAGCCGATCGCGCAAACCGGCGCCTTAGGGGGGGCCACGCAATGCAACACATAAGCGGTTTATGGGGGTTTGTAGGAATTTCCGCTTGTCTGGGCTCATAGCTTTAAGGGTTCAGGACCTTCGCAATTGCGAATATGCGGACCCAAAACAGAAGAGTTCTTCTGCCTGATCTGGTATAGGAAGCCTGTTTTGGGGTCCTTATAACCCTCCTGTTTAGGTCAATATTAAGGTCCCCTATTTTCGGCCTGTGCAATGAAGCATTGGCATAGGTATGCAGATCGCATGTACACTTGTCCAAAGCTTTGCAGAAACTCCTCAGACACTTCACGCACGACAAGTTGGCGCTGATGCGAGTGGAACTTGTGGCTCGCTCTTGTGTTTGGGGCTTTTACATGATACTTGTAATCCCAATTTGGGCACCTATAGCATTACTAACTCACTCCAATGATCCTCTAAGTGAGACTGTGAAAATGAAGTGCAGCTTTCTCTTGGGCTTGTGGTAGAAGCCAGAAAGTTGGAACATTAGTTTCCGAGGTACAGTATCAAGACTCCTAGCACTATATAATGAACCTTAACCTTGTTCCAAATTTCTGGGGTTCACTGCAAACGACACACACTGCTCAAATCAGAACATTCGGAATTGACGGGACTTCCGCAGCATCACCAAGAGTGATTGCGTGACTCCGTCTTGTTCTGGCTCTTGTACCGCCAAGAATTCTTCCACTCGTTGCTGTTCCCTGCATGCTGCTGCTCATGGTGCCAACCATCATGGTCTTTCTGATCCCATGTCCACTCGTCTTCCTGGCCTTTCCATGAAGAGCCGCACTCTTTGCTGTTTCCTGCATGCTGGTGCTGTTCATGGTGCCAACCACGGTCTTTGTGATCCCACGCCCACTTGTCTTCGCCTTTCCAAGAAGAACTGGAACGACTGTGTTGGTCGCCTTCGCGGTCGTGTCTGTTCCAGCTGGGGCTGTTGTTCCACGATCCCTTCTGGTGATCTCTGTTGTTGGCCATCCGGGGCTTGGGGCCCTCATGTTTGGTGGAAGTGGTCGCGGGACCTCGCCAGTCCTCCAACTGGCACGCCAAAGGTGCCAGAGCGGGTCTCGTTGAAGACCCAACCCTTATCACGCTGGCCATTCCGAGATCACATCGAAGACTTCTCCACAGCTCAGGAAGCCCACCACCCCCTTTCGCTGCACACTACCCTCGCTCCTGACGTCCATGCCAGGGCGCCACATGCACCTCCAGTGCGTGGGCTTGGAGCCCTGGCCCTGGCCGGCTGTGAAGCTTCAGTTTCCTAGTTAGAATACGGGATTTTGGGGCCCATTATACTATAGCTATAAGGAGCCTCCAAAATAGTATAGGTAGATATTAATATTAAGGCCCCCATATTAAAGTACTTGTTCCCTCTTCCGTGGCCTTGCCCCCAACCCGCGCATAGAGATGCTTCAGGAGCGAGATGGCAATGGCCCTTCGGCTTGGCTCCATCTCTTCGTCGGAAACCGAAGTGGGAGAGTCCACCATATTCGGGGGGGATGGCGGTGGACGCGTCTCCGTCTCGCTCTCCTCTGCATCTTGCACCAGTAGCTGCCTCAGTCCCTGAAGCTCTGCCTCCAGGGCTTCCACTCGCTGCGTCTGGGCAGCCAGCTGTCCCTGGAGCTCCGTCATCTGGCTTCCCTGCTGCTCATGTTCCTGGACCATGGCGACCACTTGATCGCGAAGCTCGTCGAACATCGCCGCCACTCTCTGCGACAGCATTGTGGCGCAGAGAGCTACTGACTTGTGCCGCGCGGCACGCCTCTAGCAGAAACCCCGTCAGCCAAAAGGTTTCTTCAGGCACATGCGTCTGCCTGCAAGCATCTAGGCACCTTCTGCCAGCCCGACATGATTCACAGGCCTTGCGGAGCGGCAGGACTGCGCTCCACGAAAAGCTGACGGAATCATCTGCCCGGAAGGCCCAGAGCCTCCAATATCCCTTAGTTGAGGAGTATACCTGAAGTTATAGTAGGATCCCAAATACGATTCAAAGAATATTCCTTAATTAAGGGATATTGGAGTCTCTGGGAAGTTGGTAACAACCTGAATGCTGTAAAGCTGTAAAGTGTACACCCTGGGTTACACCCTATTCGCATCCATTGACATCCTTCGAGCTCCCAAGGACCCCAAAATAAGGTACCCCCTAACTTTCGGAAACTCCCGTATCACGAGGCCCCTGCATGGAGCACCAGCAAGCCAGCCGCACCACCTTGGTGCGCAATGTAAGCTCCACAGGTCGAGGCAGGCGGAGTTGCAAAAAAAACCATGAAACCCAAAATCCTACCCTAACCTACCAAACCCTAGGATTGTTGTAGGTTCTGATTATCAACCACAATATTGATTGTATAGGAACCCGTAATACCCCTAAACCCTGGAGCTGGAAGGTTTCAAATCCAGCAAAACTCTTCAACACCCAAGCAAAGCGACAATCCCACATCCCTAAACTCCGCCCCGAAACCCTGAACCCGTAAACCCTGCACCCTAAACCCCTAAATCCCAAACCCCAACCCCTAAATCCCACCATTGAGCATACGGTACGCTCCCAGAGAGTGAAGCCCCATTTCCATGCCGTGGGTGTCTTAAGAGTTTAGAGCAAATAGGTTTTGGCAGTATACTCGAGTATACTCAATACTTACAATACCTAAACCCTAAACCCTAAACTCTAACAAGGCCCTCAGTGCCAATGCTTGTTCTTGCGATTATGAGTATCACTAGTGCTACTCCTATTAGTACTATTCTTCATATTATCTTAATACATATTCATATTCGTATTCCTATTCTCATCATTATTATCGGTATTGCCAGTATTGCATCATTCGTACCATTATTAACATCATTATCATTAGTATTGTTTTTATCATTATTATCATTATTATTCACCTTCTACACTGGAGGCTCAGGGCTGTGACTCGAGCGAAAAAGTCTCGCGGAAGGCACCCTGAGCCCTGCCGAACCCTGAGCCCCGACACGCAGAGCCCACAAACCTTACACTCAGGGTTGAGAGGTCTAGGGGTTAGGCTTTATGGTTCAGGGTTCAGGGTTTGGGTTTTAGAGCTGAGCAAAGGAAACCACAATAGGAATGACCATAAGGAGAACCACGACAGCGATTTCAAGGAAGAAACCCTAAAACAGCTTAACCCTAAGAGCTAAACCCTAAAACCCTACACCCGAAACCCTGAAACCCTAAACCCGAAACCCGAAACCCTAGAACCCTAAACCTTAAACCCGAAACCCTAAAACCTTAAAGCCCCAACCCTAAAACCCTAGACCCTAAAGCTTGAAACCCTAAAACCTTCAAACCCTAAGCATGTTCACTTTGTGTGCTACTTTGGACGCTCGCCCCAAGTAGATAACCCACAACCCGATTCGGGTCCCTTTTTTAGGGTACTCATAAGTCTACCTCCTGGGCGCCCCCGGCTGACAGCCGCGGCTGAGGCCGCTTTCTTAGCCCAGGTCGACCTCGCTGCGTAAATCCGACGGCACTTTCGCTCCGAGGGTGTAGGGAATTCCTTTAAACGAATCTGAAAGGGCTCTAGGGTTTACCGTTTCAGTGATTCCTTTAACGGGGTTCATAAGAGTTCTATAAGGGGATTTATAGTCTATAAGGGGGTTTAGGGTTTTCAGGTTTGGGGTTTAGGGTCTTGGGGTTTAGGGTGTTGGGCCTTTGGGGTTTGTCTGGAGTTTGTATGGCGGCCTAACCATCCTAAATTCTACACCCTCAGCCCTAAATCCTAATGCAAGCTCCATCCTCCCCTGGACTATCATGGAACCGAAAAAGAGGGCCCTATCGTTGGCAGGCTATTTGGGGTTTCAGTCAGTTCGGGACTGGGAAGGCCCTGAACCCTAAACCCTAAGCCCTTAAACCCCAAACCCTAAACCCTGAGCCCTAAACCGTAACCCTTGAACCCTTCTTCGGAGGATGAGATGAAAAGCCTCAGCACCTTGGGATTGACAACAGCCTTTCTTTTAGCCTGAGTCTGAGGATCCCTATCTACCCGGATTTAGGCTTTAGGGTTGTTAGGGAGTGGAGTGGAGTGGAGTGGAGTGGAGAGCGACAAGGACAGAGTCCGGTCCAAAAGCAGTATCACCTCCGGCCCGAAGGCGAAAAGGATCAAACCGCCGAGAAAAAGAAAAAAACACACACACACACGCTACTTCCTCAGAACCCGCACCGCGGCTCTACAGGAGTTGGTGCATGTCGCACCCGCTGGTGTTGTCCATGAAAGCTTGGCTACCAGAGAAGCTGTGAGAAATGGAATGGCAAGCACCCGCAGAAAAAATGTGTAGGGACATGAAGGCTCAGCACAAACATCCCATCGGAGCACATGGCATCAGGCAGATCAAAGCGGAACTTTTGTGCCCGGATGACCGCGCTAGTGCCGCTAGTGCTGTCGGACTTGAACCTGTCCATTCCGAATAAGGAGGTCCTCTGTGCCCTGTCTAACTAGGCCGTCCACCATGTCTTGCAGCACACTACGTAGGCTTGATAGTGGCAGCACCATCGGTGTGTGGGCAGAAGGTTCACATCTGCCCCTGCAGGCTGGACAATTCCCAAAGTCCGCAGCCAATCTGCGGGCCTTGAGTGAAAGCCATCCCAGTCAAGTGGTGGCCTGGCCTCAGTGACTCTGCCCGTTTTACTGAGGAAATGCAAACCTCGCTTCCGTACGCGCAGTAGTTTCCGGATCAGCACTTGGGGCACCTTGACAAGATCGAGAGAAGACCAATGTCTGCATCCTGCAAAACAAAGCCTTGTGGAGTCCAACCGATGAAGCGGTCGTGCCCGGCAATCATAGCAAGCTCACTCATCAAGCCGGATGAAATGCGGCGGGCGTGCAATTTACAGGGCGCACTTGGACGTCCGAGGTGGCGGGGCGCTTCGGGTCTGCCAACCCACATTTGACCACGCTGCCGCAAATTGAGATCCACAAATCGTTGTCGGAGAAGACCACGCAAGGTGGCAATCGTTTCTCTGTCCTCTTCGCTGCTGGGCCACTGAGACTCCCAAACATTGACAAATGCGCACTCCTGCTGGAGGATATGCAAATCTGGGACACTGTAACCAACTGAAGAGGCACCGTGATCTAGGAAGTGCACCATCCAGCGAGGCCAAAGACAAACGGTGTGCAATGGTAGGACAGAAGATACTCGGCCGGCATCCACCAGGATTTGATGCAGGAAGTCTGTGTTCCGCATCCACAGGCGGGTGTTGTCGCGTGAGACCTGCAAAGAGCCTGCTCCGTTAGGATATTGGCGGAACCTGCCTGTCCAAAAATGGTACATCTTCATGGCCCACTGGCCGATCAGGTCGTGCTGCTGCGAAGCCGCGAAAAAAGCTGATGTTGATCTGAACCCCGACACCCTGGATCCTTAACATGCGGTTCGGGATGCGCCGCGGCGGAAGCATCTTGACAGGCTCCGATCCGATTGCCAAACCACCCAAGAGATTTGGCACACGGCCGCTTCAAACACATGACATGACAACGCTGATTTCAGGCCAAAGGACACGTGGAAAGGAAACCAAGTACACCCTCCTGGCATCCTGGCTCTGCAACCTCTTGGTCATGGCGAGCGACGGCTGCAACCCTTTCGTCAAGAAAAGAACTTCGACCCCAGATGGGTATCATAAGGATATATAAGGATTCAGATCGCATGGCCACAATATGCCTCAATATACCTCATAGCTTGGGCATAGCTTGGAGGAGCCAAAAAAAACTGCAGACCACAACCTTGCCGCACCAGCACGGAACACAGCACAACCAAGCCAAAGCATGGTATCCTGGGCCCGGCCAAAATCTGCGAGCTCGCTGCTCAAAGCATCTTGCTTGGCTCGGTCACGAAGGGATCCGGGCACCTCCGGAATGTTCTACTGATTTCTACTGGTGCAAACAAAAGGGCCGGCGCAGGAGGCACTGGCCTGATGCTGCTTGTTCGCCAGAGCCCACTGGCCGGCCTGGCGAGGAAGAGAGAAAGACAGAGGGAGCTAAAGGGAGAGAGAGAGAGAGAGAGAGAGAGACAGAGAGAGAGAGGGAGGCATAGAGAAAAAAACGCTGAGAGGAGAAATGTCAAGCGATGACCGGGAAGCAACGCAAGCCTTGACCCTCGAAGTGAAAACTTTGGACTCGATCTCGGCGCTGCGGAATTGGTATGCATCTCAGCAGACAGCAGATGACACCAGGACTTTTTTTTAAATGCTCCAATCAATACTAAGGCCAAGGATGAGCGCATGCTTCCGAAGCTGGTTTGTGTTCATGGACATGCCACCCTATATCAGCACGTGACTCCAAAACCTAGTCCCTCCGAGGAATTTCATGCAATTTCCTACCTGCGAGATCATACGAGCATGAGACAGACACGGAAAGTGCACAAATGCTACCCTCGGGCATGTTTCGTGCAGTTTCTCATGGCTGTCATACATGAACTTACGGAAACCTATAAACTGCACGAGGAATGTAATGTACACTATACCCGCCCCCCCCCCCACTACCTCCAATGTATAAGGAATGGGGATGTCCGCATTCTTCCTAGACCAACCCCCAGCAACACCGCGCACTCGGCCCCGGGGATATCACATCTTAGTCAAGTTGGACATGTTCCGCTGTATTGGTCGCCGCGGCGGATTCGATGTCTGCTGCGCACTGAAGGGCCCAGGCGAACAGTGTATGTCGACTATTGGTACGTCATCTTCGGGTTGATCACGACATTGTCGGAGCGGAAGACAATCGACCATGGGCCCCACCCTCGCTCGTGAAGCGGGATGTTGGGGTCGAACTGCACCATTTCCTGCACGGACTGGTCTTTAGTTGCCATGTTCTGACGAACTCGCGACTCACCATAGTCTATAGTCTGTGGCAGCGCGCACCTGGACTCCAGTGCCAGTTGCTCCATAAAGAAGAGCTGGACAGTGCCTTGGCATTTCGCCCAGGCTTCCAGCTGCTGATGCAACATAGGAAAGGGATGCTTTGGCTCTGCCGACGCTTGAGCCCGGGACATGTCTTGAGCCAAAATCGCTGAAGCCTAAACCCTAAGCCCTTAACCCCCAAACCCTAAACCCTAAACCCTGAGCCCTAAACCGTAACCCTTGAACCCTTCTTCGGAGGATGCGATGAAAAGCCTCAGCACCTTGGGAGTAACAACAGCCTTTCTTTTAGCCTGAGTCTGAGGATCCCTATCTACCCCGGTTTAGGGTTATTAGGGTTGAGGGTTCCTTTAAGGCCCGGGGTTACTAATCAGCAGCCTGCATTACACTACAGTGAAGAACTGCGACGGCACAAAGAGGCTGGATCCACCTCCCGTCGAAGTGTTGCAAGACAGAAATGCGATGTTCGTGTCGCATTGCTGGTACGCCTAGAGTTGGCTGTGGGAGTTGTGCGAACGGCGGAAAAGCGCCTGCTGTATACACGTCTTGCTATGAGCAGAGGATTTCGCACCGAATACCACATCGAGTAGAGCTTCAAGGGTCTATGGCATGATCCGCGATCATTGGTGAACTGGACGCTTAGAGCATTCATGGTGCGTAGTCAAAAGCTTCCGGTTTTCGCGCTTACGGTAGAAATCCAACAATACTCCCCTAAACCCTAAACCCTAAACCCTAAACCCTAAACCCTGAAGAGCGCGAAACCCCCTACGGACCTGAAACCCACATGGACCTAAACAGATCGAGCGCAATCGTAGTCCGCACAAAGCCGTCCGTCTCAAACCAAATCCAATGTCCGCCGAAACTTAAACCTTCAGCTGCAATTCTACTCAAGCCTGCAGCGAGAGCCCGAAATCAGAACTAAAGAACCTTATGTCAGCCCGGACTCTTACTACAGTTTGCTTGTGTTGTAGGAAGGTTGTAGACACGGCTACTGGCTGCCATGACTCTGAACCCAAAACCCCAAACCCCAAGACAACTCAAGACCCGAAGGCCGCGAACCCTAATGCCTGCTCTCCAAACCCCGGCCCTGCGTCAACCCTCTGTCTGTCCTTTACAGCTTTGATTGTCCAGCCACCAGTCAACAGCTGCAGGTAACCTCTATAGTCATTCTCCTCATGCCCTTGAGGTAAAGGGCAAGGAATTCCAGCGTTAATCATCCTCAATCCATCTTACAACTTTCTGGGTTTCACCCTAGGGTTCAGGGGATCTTGGTTTTTGGATTTATGGATCTGGCGTTGAAGCCGGATGACCACCCCCCAACCCCAAGCATCACCATAGCTCCCGTTCCCTGAATTAGGGTCCCATTTTGGGCCTCAGGTCCCAAAAATAGTGCGGCACCCTTACTGCCCTTACTAAAAGGACCCTAAGAGGGAACATAATTTAGAGAACTACCCATATCAGCCCAATACCCCAAAGCCGCTACAAACAACCCGCCGCTTTATGGACCGATATACGGAAATCATAAAAGAGACCCCACAAAAGTATGCCATTCGGGGTTGAGGTAAGCGGAAAAAGCCCTTAACTCTACAGAACCACTCCAGATCGAACTCTCAAAAGACGCGTATGCTTTCTAGTATTTGCTACAAAAAACTATAGTATGTATCTATATACAAATTACAACAAAGATATGTATATATATATATGTGTATATATATTCAGACTGTAATATGTCATATATAAGCAATATAAGCTTGCAATGTAGGGTCTCCCTCAGCCGGACATGGGGCCCCAGGCTCGCGGCGAGGCGAGGAGATGAGCTGAAAGCCGTCCGACACCTCGCTACACGGCGTTCTTGGGGGATACGGTTTAGGGTTTAGGGTTTAGGCTTTAGGGTTTAGGGTTTAATACTTGGACACATACATACATACATGCATATACACATACATAATGGTTTACTTCCATACTTACAGACCATACTTACATACCTACTTACGTACGTACATATATACATATATACGTACATACGCACATACCGTACATACGTACGTACAGACATTCGTGCATGAATTGCATTGCGTTACACAGCGGTGCAGCGCAGTGCAGGGCAGGACAGGGCAGCGTGGCGACATGAGTACATAAATCCATCCATCTGTTCATCCACTCATTCATTCATTCCTTAATTTCTGCATTCATTCATTCATTCCTTCATCTTTTGATTCATTCATTCGTGATTTCGTGACTCATTCATTCATTCATTCAATCATTCATTCATTCATTCATTCATTCGTTCATTCGTGCATTCCTTCATTCATTCATTCATTCATTCATTCATGCATGCATTCATTCATGCAGTGCGCTCATACATACAGGCGGACTTCCACACTTACATACTTGCTTCCTTGCTTTCCTATTGGCATACTTACACGCACACTCGCTCAGTCAGGTCGTGTGTTCTTGCCTGCTTTCTTGCTTACTTATCCGTGAATATGCAGATATGCAGATAGACATCATCTGGTGTCTGCGCGTAAGTTTTTACGGGGCTATGTGTGGGCATTGCAGGCGTACACATAAACCACAGACGGGGGACTCCTGGGAGAAAGTAATCGAGCAAAGAACAGTGCGTGAAACCATGGAGTAACTGAGTAGTGCCCGAAGACGGGTCTGATACATGAATGCCCCTACATCCAAAATTTTGGGGTACATTATACATTATACTATACTTATAATCAGGAACCCCAAAATAGTGTAGGTAGTTATTAAGGCCCCCATACGGGACCCTTATAGTAACCCCTCATGGACCCCCTAGGCCCCTATGTTACAGACAAGTCTAGGCAGAGACCCGCCTGGCGCTCGACGCCGGGGCCCGGGATCACCAAGTGGTCACAGCCGATGTGCCCCTGCTCCGCAAGGATTGGAATAAAGGATCCCTAGAGGGTTCTATAAGGGGGATCTACAGTAGGGTTCTATAGTATAAGGGCCTTCATAAACATAATAGGATTCTGGGGTATATCATGCCATAAAATAGTAACAAGGAACCCTAAAAATCCGACAGGAGGATTCCAAAGTGATGACGACGAGTTTAGTGTTGTGGGGTTGCGGCGTTGGGGTTTGAGGCTTGCAGAGTTTAGGTTGTCGGTTCTGCCTTTCGGTTTCGTGCTTTCGGCTGGATGCTGCCGAAAGCGCGCGAAGAACTGCGAAGGATAGCAACACACTCTCTGAAACCTGTCCGCCTAAGCCTAAGCCATCAACCATGCTGCCTGAACCCTACAACCCTAAACCCCTAAAACCCTAAAACCCCTGAACCCTTAAACCCCTAAAACCCTAAAACCCCTAAAACCCTAAAACCCTAAAGCCCTAAACCACTAAACCCCTAAAAGCCTAAGCCCCTAAACCCCTAAACCATGGAACCCTGAACCCCTAAACACCTAAATCCCTAAAACCCTAAAACCCTAGAACCCTAAAACCCTAAGCCCCTAAACCCCTAAACCCCTAAACCCTGAACCCCTGAACCCCTAAACCCCTAAACCCCTAGAACCCTAAAACCCTAAAACCCTGAAAACCCAACAATCAAAAAAAAAAGAACCGGAGCTACTCCCTCCCCAGGCGCCTCTGGTGGCACCGCAGCCGGCGCTCCGTTCCTGCGGCGAGTTTAGTAGGTACCCTTTCTGGGGGTTTACTTAGAGGATCATGGGACTTAGTAACTAGGGTTATAATTAAGGTGACTATACTTATAATTACATATAACCCCAATTCAGGTACTTATAACCATACTTACTAAGTCCCATGATCCTCCAAGTAGGGGTTTAGGGTTTAGGGCCTCTGGGTTTAGGGTATAGGGCTTAGGGTTCAGCCTACTTGTCGAGTATCCTGGAGAACTAACGGTTGACCTTTGGGAGTAGATTGGGATCATATTGGGATTGTAGCACGCCAAAACGGTTAAAGGTCACCTACTCTCTACTGCTAGGTAAGGCTTCTAGTTATAAGGGTTTAGGGCTTAGGGTTACGGCACGGATTTAGATCAAAAGCATTACTACAAGGGTTTCTACGAGGGTTCATGCAGCGAACCTTCTTACCTAGGTCGGCCCTTTGAAGCCTCTGAATATTCGTATATAGTATCCGCTCATGGCCACAAAATCATCCCAAATGCCTACCTGGAGTAGCGTTTGGGGCCTTTCGGGTTCTCGGGTCTTCGGGTTTTGGACTTCAGAATATACTGGGGTCGCGTTAGGGTTGAGGGGTTTGGGGTTGAGGGCTTAGGGCAACCCGAAACCGCATAGCCCATGGCCTAGCAGCCCATCCCACAAACCCTAAAGCCCAAATCCTCTTTGAAGCCCGAGCTCGATCTCAAAAACTCTATATCCTCTACGCTACCAACTACCCAAATATAGGGGCCTTGATACCGGGTTTTGGTGGCCATTGTGTGGGACATCCACGTGATCTTTGACCCATCTGGTCCAACCCACACAATGCTGGCGGGCCTCCTGCATGGCACCTCCCTCCTGATACGGTCAACCATGCCACTGATCACTCGTCTCTCATTGCGAGCATCTCTCTTGGTCGTTCCACATGATGTTCTGGTGCTCGAAGTTGATGTCATACCTGTCCTCACCCTACATCTCCATCGACGGATGATTCGAAGAGAGGCCGGGATAAGACCCCTGAGTCGCAAGAGCCCAGACTCTAAACTGAAAGCAAGCTGGGCACTTGGAGGATCATGGGACTTAGTAGGCATGATTATAAGTACCCTAAGAGGGGCTATAAGTAATCATGAGTATAGTTACCTTCATTATAGCCCTAGTTACTAAGTCCCATGATCACTATACGGAAGCAGTAGCATTACCGACAGTTAAATTCCCCAAACGTTGAGCCCCAGAGCCCAAAAGCCCGCAAGAATATGATCGTACACCCTCAGCCCTAAGCCCTATGGGCCATCCTTAACCCTCGAAAGGCCTATGCCGAAATCCTAAACGCGTAAATTCCAGGGACCGTGGAAACCTAAATCCTGCGCCCTGAAACCGCCACACCCTATACCCCAAAGCCCAAGATTCCACGACCGAAGCCTTAAGGGTTTAGGGTTTAGGGTTTACGTAGAGCCGGAAAAACCCTAAAACCGTATACGCAAACAACCCTGAGGCTCGAAACCCAAACCTTAGACCTGACCTGAAACGCCAGAAAATCTCCTTATCGCAACCTTGTAGAACTCTTGAAATATAGGGGCCTTCATCATCAAAATAGGATTTTGGGGGACCTGTATACAATATTGTAACCACAATACTTTAGGTAATTATGAAGGCTCCTGTAGTAGAAACCTTTGCAAAAGCCCTTTTTCTGCTGCAGACCAGGGGCAGGCTCTCGAGATAGACGACCCGGCCGAGCACCTCAAGGGATTCAGCAGCCAGGGCTTCTTGGGGTTTAGGGGTTTAGGGCTTTAGGGTTTAGGGTTTCTTTGTTTTTTGAAGGCCCTTTTCCACCCTGCTACAGTCGGAATACCTAGTAGGGTTTAGGGTTCAGGGTATAGGGTGCAGGGTATAGGGTTTAGGGACGGTTCCCGTAAGGGTTTAAGGTTTCGGGCTTCGGTCCAGCGCTGAGGGCCTAAACTCGACACCCAAACCCCTAAACCCTAATCAGGGCTTAGCGTTTAGGGCTTAGGCTTGGGGCTTTCGGGTTGCGGGTTCATCCCAGAGAGCCCAATACCCCTTGATTAAGGAATATAGCTTAACTCAGAATATGAAGCCCTATATAATGTAAGCCATATTCCTTAATTAAGGGGTATTGGGCTTTCTGGGATGGGGGACAGGAGGCCTCAGGGCTTAGGGTTAGCTTGTGTGCTTCGCGGCATTTCAGACCTAGAGTTTAAGGGGTTTTAGGGCTTCGGGGGTTTGAGGTTTAGGGCTTAGGGCCAGAGCCACCAACCCGCTTATAGGGACCACAACAGCAATCTCAACGAAACTACAGCTTCGGGATAGCAGAAGTTAGAGTAAATCAAGGACCAAAGTAAGCCCTAAACCCTAGACCCCAAATGCCTAAACCCTTTCTAAACCCTATGCCCTATACCCTAAACCCCCCAAACCCCAAACCCTAAACCCTAAAGCCAAACACCGCTGAAGTGAATCAGTGAGGATCAAGGCTCAGAGACTACTTGGAGGATCGTGGGACTGAGTAAGTAAGGTTATAACTACCATAATTGACGTTATAAGTAGTTATAAGTATAGTTACCCTAATTATAACCCTAGTTACTATATCCCATGATCCTTTTAGTAGCGATGCACGGGTGAACTCAAGCTGCCTCGGGGTCGGGAGCTGACCGTATGCTCAAAAACCCTAATTTTTCAGACTACTCGCTAGGTTGGCCCTTTAAATCCTCTGAAAAATATTCGGCAATGGGGTCCTATTAAGCCCAATAAGGGAAAATGTAAAATATCCCAAAGGCCTACCTAGCTACTAGTATTGAACTGATCGACTCAATACTCTTTGGCGACCATGCTATACACGGCATATTACTCGAACTGAACCTTGCTGATCACCCCTTTGGGGCTATTGTCTACTAAACAGACCGCTCTTGCTTGGAGAGACCGTAAAGCCTTACGGAAGCCCAAAAGTTGGAAACCCAGTGGCTTCAATCCTTGAGAGTGATGTATATATAGGGAATCCCAGCACTATTTGGCCTGAATCCGGTACTTTATGGGTTTACTGTAACTTCTTTGCCCCTGTCACCTCGCCAGCGTGGCGGGCCAGAACGGCTCGGTCGGGGTTGCCTTCCAGAGACCAGAGTCGATGGCGTAGAGGTTTAGGGGTTAAGGGTTTAGGGATTTAGGGGTTTAGGGCTTAAGAGGTTTAGGGTTTAGGGGTTTGGGCTTTAGGGGTTTGGGGTTTCGGGTGTGGGTTTAGGGGTTTGGGTTTAGGGTGTAGCAGTTTAGGGCCTCCAAAATAAGAAGATTTCCTGAGTTTCGTGGGGTTCTTCTCAAACTACCGATCACTCTCAACCAGCTGAAATCGCCCAATAAGAAGCCCTGCTTCACACCGCTGGGGCTGAAGTGGACTAATCGCCAAATGCCTGTGCCGGAAAAGTCGGATTTGTGGGTGACCGCGGATTATGTAGGGGCCTGGACCATTCCCCAATATAACAAACTCCCAAGGGTTCCTCTGTATATCCACTTCAAACCTACCAAAACCTACTCGTATACAGCGTCCCTGTAAATCCCATATTAGGGGAAGATGCTCAGATCCTACAAAAGACTCCGTTATTGTAGCTTAAGGTATGGTCCAAGATACTCCAAAGCCCTCAACCAAAACTCTAAACCCCAAACCCAAAATCCTAAACCGCCTCGTCTTGGCAATGTTTACCACTAGCGACTACTGCCCCCACAATACCACCCAAGGCATACACTCACCAATTTTCTAAAGGAGCCTGCATATGGACTCACCAATTCCCAATATGAACCTCATCTCATATGTGTTAAGCCAACCTAAGCAACAAAACGAAACAAAATACCTAATAAACACTGGGCCTTAATAATTAGAACAGGGTTTTGAGGCCCAATATACTACAAGTATGCTAAGGAGCCCCCGAAATAGCATAGGTAATTTTTAAGGCCCCTAGATTAGTCTCCGAGCGGAAAACCCCACGGCTGTTTGTCGAGATTGGCCTCTGCGCCCAACGGCACCCTCACCACGGGTGGAAGGTTTCGGTCGCACGCCATATGGGTGGTTGTCAAAACGATGATCCCTTTTTGGGTACCCTAAATTATAGGTGCCGTATGATATTAGGGACCCCAAAAAGGGGCCCTAATTTTGACAACTACCCATATGCAGAGGTTGCAGGCCTAGGCGGTCTGCCATCTCTACGTCCGCGTGACGTTCAAGAAGAGGCTGCATGCTCCTCGACTGCCGCGTGCGATGCAGAAAGCCCACTCCAACCAAGATATGTCTCGACATGTCGCTGCAAGGCCCAAACCTCCGTAGGGTCTTAAGAAAAGACATCTTCACTGTGGGTTTAGGGTTTTCAGGATTGAAGGGTTTAGAGTTTAGGGTCTAGGAGATTGGGGCTTAGGGTATACAGAGGTTAGGGTTTCGGGGCGTAGGCTTTGGGGTTTTGGGTTGGGCTTTTTCCGAGATTCTATCTTGGGTGTCCCGTGTTTCGTGCGACTCCCATTCATGGTTTCTTGCTATTCCGCGAGGCACATTGCGGTCTTAATGATTAGAACATAGGGATTGTGGGTCTATCGGTAGGGAAAAGTGCTACAAAAATTCCGACCATCTAGTAACTCAAATACGGAACCCTTAAGGAATAGAATAACACTTTCGAGGAACCATGGCACAGGCAGCGCGGTGTGCGGACGGCAGGGCGTGCTCTGTTTCTCCAGATACTGTTGATGATATAAATCCTGCCTTACCTTAAATTAAGCGTCCTAAACTATGGGAATTATGGTATATTCCTTATTATGGGTAGTGCAGGATTTATATCATCAACCGTATGACCATCCTAAACCGGTTTAGGATTTCGAGTTTCTTTTGTCAAGTGCAGTGGCCCTTCTCCGCAGCATCAGAGACTCTGGGGTTTAGGGTTTGGCGACGTAGGGGTTTAGGGTCTAGGGCTCCGGGTTTGGCGTTGAGGGCGAACCCTTCAACCTTGCGCCTTTCGACTCCTGGGCTTCGCTTCAGGGTTTAGCGTCTTGCATTGCCCTGGGCTGGAGTTACCAGACAGAGAAAAATACATCTAATGCAGGAACCTGATTCAGAAAACCTTGGGCCTTTGTTGGGATTCCTTGCTATTTTGGGGTTACAGGCCCAGGGTTTCTTAATCAGGTTCCTACATTACTGTTTTTTCACGGTGATATCACGATATATATATATATATATCACGTATACAAAGAAGATGCATTGTTTACTCTAGGTAGGCCCGAAAGCTGGTGATGCAGGATGCAAATAAAACTTTTCTAGGACCCTAGATCTCGCGCAACCCTGATTGATAACCCCAGCCTCCAGACTTTAAACCCTAAAGCCCTAAAGCTTTGAAAAACCCTAATGTGGGGGCCTTAACAATTGCCTATACTATTTGCAGGCCTGCTTATCATAATTATCGTATAATATACCGCCAAACCCTATTCTAATTATTAAGACCCCTATATTCTAGTACCCTTGTAGCATCCATTTCTAGCTACCAAATTATAGACCCTTTGACAGGAACCCTATTCTAACTATTAAGGCCCCTGTATGGGAGCTTCTGAATATTGGGGTACCTTATTATGGGATCCTTTTAATAAGGATCCTACTATTTAGGGTACTATACCAGGGTCCCCTATTTTCGGAAACTCCCACAGTGTGTTGTTCTACATGACATTGGGGCAGTTGAGGGTTCCGTGAAAGTGAAAGGGCCTTTCAGGGGGTCCTGCGGGGGTTCCCTTTAAACGCGAACTCTGCCAGCGTGGATCCTCAAACCGCGAATGCTCACCACGACGAGCACTTGGAGGATCATGGGACTTAGTAAGTATGGTTATAAGTACCCTAATTGGGGTTATAAGTAGTTATAAGTATAGTTACCCCAATTATAACCCTAGTTACTAAGTCCCATGATCCTTTAAGCAAGACGACCATGCGAAACCTTCCGCGCCTTCTGGGCACGAGGCCGCCGCTTTGGCCAATCGCTCTGCAACCTGTCGGTATACGGCCACCGCCTGGGCGGCAGGTTACGGTTTAGGGTTTAGGGTTTATGGGTTTATGGGTTTATGGGTTCGTGGGTTTAGGGTTTAGGGGTTTAGGGGTTTATGGGTTCAGGGTTTAGGGTTTAGCTTACCTTTGGTTAGTAGGGAATGGAGGAATGGGGTACAATTGTAACTACCATTACTACCATTCTTCCATTCCCTACTAACCAAAGGTAAGTTAGTGCCTAAAGGCTGTAGGGTTGGGCTTCAGGCCATAAGGTTTAGGGTTTGGGGCCTAAGGGTTGTACTATTTCAGGCCGAAAGGCTCTAGGGTTTAGGGTTTTAGGGCTTAAGGTGTAGGCTTTTAAGGTTTTAAAGGTTTTAAGGTGTTTATGGGTTTAACCTTAGAAAAAGTGCCAGGCCAGCCCCTGAGAAGCAGTTCCAGGTTTGTAGGGTTCAGGGTTTAGGGTTCCTTTAAGGGTCCGATAAGGGTTCCCTTGAGGCTTTAAGGTTTAGGGTTTAGGGGCTTAGGGCTCAGGGTTTCAGGGCGTAGGGATGAGGGCTTAACTAGTTTAGGGATCGGGGCGTAAAGGTTAAAGGTTCAGGGTTTTGGGAGTAGGGCTGATGGGTTCATGGTTAAGGCCTCAAGGTTGAAGGGTCGGGGTTGAGGGTTTAGGGCCTCTAGCGAGGTTTGTAGAGTGTTAGAATGTTCTATGTGGTTCTCTAGGAGTACTTTAAGGGGTTTAGGGTTTGCGTTGAGATGTAGCATTTGAGGCTTCCGGGCTGGAGGTTTAGGGTCTCGAAGGTTTTGTACAGACACTGCACTTGCCGAAGGAGATCACAGGAGCTAGAATCATAAGTAAAACTGGTGTAAGGGTCTCTATAAATATCATTCAGGCCCCTATGTTGTTGACGTATGCGCCGTGCACAGAGCTAGTGAGATCCACCGTAAGCCCGCATGTCTGGCCCCAGGTCTGCTTGCTTTGGGGTTCAGGGTGTAGGTGTCCAGGATTTAGGGCTGCCGGTTGGGTTGGCGCCAGCCGCGTTCGGTACTAGGGTTGCGGGTTTCCAGGCTAGGATATAAGGTATAGTGTTTAGGCTTCAGGGTGTGGGCTTTTGTAATTCGGTGGTGGTGGTGGTGGTGGTGGTGGTGGTGGTGGTGGTGGTGGTGGTGGTGGTGGTGGTGGTGGTGGTGGTGGTGGTGGTGGTGGTGGTGGTGGTGGTGGTGGTGGTGGTGGTGGTGGTGGTGGTGGTGGTGGTGGTGGTGGGAGTCGGAGTAAGGAGGATTCAATGCGACAGCGCGGAGACTTGGCCTCGAGCTGTACCACCCGTACCAAGCCTTCATTTTCCCCGTAGCCACCGGCCGGCAGAGCTTATCGTACTCGTTGGCTAGCATGGCCAGGAGTTCGTCCTTGTCGTGCGATGGTAGCGGAGCATCCGGCTGCAAGCCGAACATGACGCAGACGTAACACATGAGGACCTCCCTGCATGATCGTCCCAAGTACGCCAACGTAGCCATCCTGGCAAAGCTGCAACAGCATCGCGCCCTGACGTCGCACTTGCTCCTCCTGAGCTGCTAGCCTGAAGCATAACTCTGAAGCCCGAAAGTCTAAACCCTTGAACCCCTAATCCGCACCACATCCTAAACTGTAAGTTGCCGCGACACCTCAGCCCGGAAACCAGACTTGAAAGTCGAAGCCCAAATCAGTCGCTAGAACGCAACTTGGTAGCCAAGGACCCGAAATTCCTGAACTTACAACTCTCACCCCTGAAACTTCGAACCCTGCAACCATTGATCTATAGAGCCATACAGGCTGAGGAGCGCTCAACTTTGCAAACCGAAGCCCGCTTTCCGGGGTGAAGGGTTTGAGGTTTTAGATTTGAGGGCTTTGGGGTTAGCCGTGTAAGGAAACGCAGTGTGGGGCACGAGCTTTCTCCATCTGACAGGGTCAGAGGTTTCTTGATATTCTGGATATCGCTCTCAGGAGACATCCTTCTAGAAGGAGACATCCTTCTAGAAGGAGACATCCTTCTCATTTCTGCTTCTACGTGGTTTACAGCTCCTATTATATTTTTTTGTACGAGAACCCCCCGAAACCCTTCTCAAATTATTACAACCCCTATATACCAAAAACAACCTATAAGACCCTTACGGAACCCTATTCGTAAGCTTCTACATGTTACATGGCTGAGTACCTTCTCGGCCAGGCCTTTTTTTCCTCCCAACCCATGTGGACCCCTTGCAGAATCATGGAAACCCTAAAACCTAGCCACGGCCTTGGCAAGGCTAGCAAGCCCCCATAAGCCGCTTCAAAGTCCCTACAGAATCTTCTACAAGCCTTATTAACTTGTACAAGCTTGTCGAGCCCGGAGGTTAAACAACCCTACAAATCTGATGCGAGGTGCCTCAAAAAACTAGAGTAAGGCTCTGTGATATACTCTTACTATGCTGCAATTACAGTAAGGAGCCCGAAGGAATACATATACGTATATCTATAGATATATATATATATATATATACATATATATATATATACCTGTTTTGTGGTATATTCTGCTATTGAAAAGTCAACCCCATGCATTAAACCTTGCTCTTTCGCACCTGCTCGGGGTCACCAGCACGATCCAGGTCCAGGGCGACTCGCTCGATTTCCGAAGCCTCGCCACTCGTCGCAGAACCCCTCGGGCCTTTGGGGGCCTTCAGGGTTTGGAGGCTTGGGGTTTAGGGTTTTGAGGTTTCCCGGTTTTATCCTGCGCCCTTAAACCCCGTAAGCCCCTAAACCCCTAGACTCCAGTGGCCCCAGTGGCTTCAATCAAAGTTTAAGGCTCCGAGAGTTGGGGCTTAAGGGCTTAGGGTTTAGGGGTTCAGGGGTTTAGGGGTTCAGGGGTTTAGGGGTTTAGGGGTTTAGGGGTTTAGGGGTTTGGGGGTTTTGGGGGTTTGGGAGTTCGGGGGTTTGGGGGTTTGGGGGTTTCAGGGTTTTGTGCTAAGACTAGTAACTAGCATCGACGAAAGGCTGACTAGCAGTACTAGCTTGGCGACGATGGCAACTTCTCCATAAAACCACCGCCTCCGCCGCGAGTTCTGCAAAGACCGCCGTCAGAATCCTCTCATCCTGGCTGATACAACGTTCCGCGGCGAGGTGTTTAGCCTTTCGGGGTTCGATACTTTTTGCAGGGTTGGTCCACATGTGTTCAGCATGTTTGGGGGGGGGGGACCGGGATGTACCATAAGCATCGTGGGAGAAACACGACCCCCGTAGACTCCCCTTCCCGAGAGCCTTGAATTTCAAAAACCTAATATCCGCAATCGGAGGAAGCCCCGCAAGAGGATCTGCAAGCTTGGAATCCACAGTCTCTCGCTTTAGACGAACCCGAGACCCCAAACCCTTTACCCCTTACAGTACCATTGTAGATCCCTTGTAATAGTCCTTACACGAACCCTTATTGTTCTCCTTGTACGCTAAACCCTAACATCCCTTATAGTACTCCTTGTACGAACCCTGGAAGGAATCCTTGATTTCAGCTTCACGGACTTCACCTGCTTCTCGGTGTTTTGCTGAACTGCAGGCTCAAGAGACCCACTGCTTCCAACAACCCTCCCAGTAACCGCTATGGTAGCTTTAGGGTTTGGGGTTTGGGGTTTAGGGTTTAGGGCTAGAGATTCGGGTTGAGGCTTGTTTTACCCCTGAGCCCGGAGCTCAAACCCCACAATCATGACCCCAAACAATACAGAATGGTCGGTTCTGGCCCCTTTGCCCTGGGGTCTAACCCTTAAAACAGTAGCTTCTCGCATCCATAATTTTGTGGGTACTGCCCCCATGTAGTCAGTAACAGTTTACTATGGGGCCAATATTAAGGCCTGACTTTTCAATAGGTGAAATATACTGAGTGGGGGCAGTATCCAAACAATTTTACAATAGCCCCCAAGCCCTGAGATCGGAGGATCGCCAGCCTCAGCGTCAGCCGATGCATCTCCGTGAACCTCAGACCCAGCCGCAACAAAGTAAAAGCTTAGGGTATAGGATTTAGGTTCGAAGCGGTCAGAAGTTCCCTGTTTCTTCCCCGGTGACCGACCCGCCTTTGAAAAGAGGCCACCGACCACCCACCCCCCCCCCACTAAAAAACAATGCTTCGAGATATCATGATCGCCGTGTCTAAACTCCATCTCTTCAACCCCAGACAACAAAACTCACCCCAAAAACCTTACCACTGAACTCCTGAACCCCAACCACTCTAAACTCCCAACTTCTGAAAGCAAAGCATCAATAAAATCCTCCGGCTCAGACCCAAATCTTACTTCAAACTCGCCCAGGACGACCTAACATTGGCAGCTATATTGACCATCACATTCATTGCGGCGAAAATCCTGAGAGCCCTCCTCAACCTGTCCCAAGGACACTAGAAACCTTAAGGAGTCAGTGCTTCCTGCTGCTGCATGTACGTGGGAACCCGAAGGAATACTATTTCCGATGATCCTTCCCCTGTATTACCAGAACCCGACAACCCTAAACCCTCAACCCCTAAACCCTCAACCCTGCACCCCTAAACCCCAATCTAAATCCTGAACCCCACAACCCCAAACCCTAAACCACTATCTATATATATATATATATCCTCAACCCTACACCCTTAAACCCTAAACCGTAGAACATGGGCTCTGAGCCCGGTACCCTCGGCACCCCGTTCGACAGCGCTTCCGCCATGATTGGCTGCGCCAAAATTTTAAATCCGATATAGGGGCCGTACGGAGTAGAATAGGGTTTCTTTCAGGGTTAAGAAGGGATCTACAAGGCTTTGGTTTAGGGGCCATAGTATTACCAGGATTTATTCAAAACCTGATGTTAGCGCTGCTCTCTGGTGGTTACGTCTGATGCTGAAAAAGTGACCCTTGGACACCATGCCACCGGAAGACCTAAAGCAAGGTCTTGTTTTCAAAGCACTTAACCCTAAACTCCTGAAACACTAAGAAGCATGAAGGCAGGCTTAGGTTGCTGGCTGATCGGGCAGAGTTAGGTTGGCTACAGTGTTTCCGTCTGCACTTGCGGTCAGCCATGAGTGACATGCACGCAATGAGCCAAAGCCGTCGGAAGGTTTGGGTGTAGCTACTTACAGGATCATGGGACTTAGTAACTAGGGCTATAAAGACGGTAGCTATAGTTAAGTTTTGTTACTTATATTTCCAAATAGGGTACTTACCACCTTACGTACCAGGTTCCATGATTCTCTAAGTATTTAGTACCTGAACCCTAAATCTCGGTAGATTCCTTTTTGAGGAACCCTTCAAGGGGCTCTTGAAAGAAACCCTAGTTACTAGGTCCCCTGATCCTCAAAGTACCGGTCGCTCTAAGGCCCTTCGGAATAGCGTCGCGACTCCACCACTGTCGCCACTCGCATCGCTTCAAACGAAGATCATAAACTGCGCTATTTTCTCGGGCCGCAACCCTGAAGGCTAAACCGAGGAATCCCTTGACCCCGCTCCCAAGTCCTGAAGACTGAAACAGGTTCTGCTTAGGGCGTAGGACTTAAGGGGTGTAGGATTCAGGGTTTGGGTTTTTGTTTGAAGGCTCTTTTCCGACTGCCGAACAGCTAGGGTTTGGGGTTTAGGGTTTAGGGTTCAGGGTTTGGTTGCGGTTTTTTTTTTTAGGGTTGCGGGTTTAGGGTTTAGGGTCACCCGAAGGGCCTGTTAAAACCCATGCCCAACCCACGCGCTGTGGCCTTCAGCGCCTGGCCATCCACCTGTGGCGAAGGACCGGCACCGAGCTGCGCGAAGACCTCCAAAAAGCTGGGCTTCCCCACGCTTCTTGCTCCAAGCCCTACAGTAAACCCTATGCCATTACATCATCACCCAGCACTCTAAAGGATTAAACCCCGAAGGCCCTAGAACCCGGATTAGGGTTTGGGTGGTGGGCTTCAGGCTTGAGTGCTCTGGACTTGAGCCTCGGATTCGGGGGGGGTTGGGCTTTGGGCTTTCTTGGCATGAGACTCTGGAGCTTGGGTTCGAGGGGTTCGCGTTGGGTTTGTGCTGCTAGTTTTGGGCTGTCAAGTCTGGGGTCAAGTTTTGAAGATCGTCACCTTGAGATTTAGCGGGTTTGGTGTTGAGGGTTTGCGGCTGCGGCTTTGGAGGCTTGGGGCCAGAACGTTGACCTGGGAACTAGGAAAGCCTTCCTGACAAGTGTGGACGCGGCCAAGGCTCTTGAACAGTATTCCCATGAAACTCATCGTCACCACGGCCTCATCATCCTCACGATCAGTATCTCCATGATCTTACATACCCTCATAGTGATGCCTATAGAGTAACCCTGAAAGTACCGCTTATGGAAACCCCTAAACCCTAACCCCTAAACCCGTAAACCCTAAATAGCAACCCTTGTTACGAACCGTCGTCGCTCACAGCCGGCCTGAGACAGCGCAGACCCTCCAAGAACGGGCCTGGCAGATGTCTGGGGGCTCAGGGTTTAGGACGATAGGGTTTAGGATTTAGGGTTTAGGACGATAGGGTTTAGGATTCAGGGTCTAGGACTATAGCGCTCAGGTCTAGGATCTCGAGCTGTAAGGTGAGACTGCTTAGGATTTTTAAGGCTGCCATGCGCTCCCGACTGTACATTGCAGAAAGCGGAGTAATTCTGGCTGGCGCGTCGGCGCAGCTACCAGGTGCGATGTAAAGGCGGGGTAGGCTTGAAGAAGCTGTTTTAACCCTAGGAAGTCCCTTCTGAAGTCCCTGTACTGGTTCGGGGCGGTGTGGTCCAGGTAGTGGTGGTAAATTGGTAGGGCTCTCTCAACCGTTAGCTCGAACCAATAGCGGCAGGGGTGTCCTCTATGCTTTGATTTAGTAAATTTAACTCTGTCTTTGTAGCCTGGTGAAAAGACTACGTGATGTAGTGGGTTGTTAGGCGGTTTAGCCAGGATGTCCACGAGTTGTTGGAGTTGTCGAGCAAGCAGGGTCTGGGACGGAAGAGGCGGTTTACCAGAGACCTTCCATACCCGTTCGTTGGTAACATGTGAGTAAAACGAGGCTTTAACTCCAATGCATCTTCGGAGGTACCTATGGAACCAGGCGTCTATGGTTTTCAGGTGCCTGTTTTCCAGGGAAAGGACCTCTAGGCCATACAACAAAACAGGAACTATGCTAGCCATAAAGATCTTTACTTTGGTTCTGATGTTGATTCTGCTGTGCCACAAGTTTTGGAGTTTAAGATACGCAACATGGCTTTTGTTCTTGCGCGCTTCTATGGCTGTTTTGGCTGCTTAGGATTTAGGGTTATAGATTGATACTGTTTGGGGTTTAGGATTGTAGGTTTTAGGGTTTAGGATTACAGGGCTAAGGGTCGTAGGAGTTTAGCTCTTAAGGCTTAGATTATAGGGCTTAGGGTGTAGGACTTAGGAATATACCTTAACCTACCAAAACCTACTTTTTTGTAGGTTCTTATTATAAACCCCAATATGGGGTTTATAGAAAAACCCTACCAAAAAAGTAGGTTCTGGTAGGTTAAGGTAGGGCTTAGGGCTAGGGAGGGGAAGATCCAGGGTGGCGCGGACCGGAATGGCCTTCAGGGTTGAGGATGAGGGGGTTTAGGGGTTGAAGGTTTAGGTTTAGGGTTTAGGGTTTAGTGTTTAGGGTTTTGGGGGTTTAGGATTTAGGGTTTAGGGTTTAGGGTTTAGTGTTTAGGGTTTTGGGGGTTTAGGATTTAGGGTTTAGGGTTTACGGTTTAGTGTTTAGGGTTTTGGGGGTTTAGGATTTAGGGTTTAGAGTTTACGGTTTAGTGTTTAGGGTTTAGGGGTTTAGGATTTAGGGTTTAGAGTTTACGGTTTAGGGTCTAGGGGTTAGTGTTTAGGATTTAGGGTTTAGAGTTTACGGTTTAGGGTCTAGGGGTTAGTGTTTAGGATTTAGGGTTTAGGGTTTACGGTTTAGGGTCTAGGGGTTAGTGTTTAGGATTTAGGGTTCAGGGTTTACGGTTTAGGGTTTAGGGGTTAGTGTTTAGGATTTAGGGTTTAGGGTTTACGGTTTAGGGTTTGGGGGTTGGGGGTTAGGGTCTAGGGTCCAGGGTCTAACATGATGTCTCACAAATCGGAACTTTTTGGGGCAGTGCCAGTGTTTGCGATCTGTAGCTATGCTTCCTGCGAAACTTGTTGCTAGTTGCATTGGTCGCGAAATTGCTCAACCCTAAACCCTAAACCCCAAAACCCTAAACCCTAAACCCTATGACTTTCAATGCTCATACCTTGGTCACTCCGACCAGCCTCATGACAGTTGTTGTCGTTGGCAATAGCAATCATTGTCATACTACGAGTAACAATTTCAAGACCTCCCTGTTGTGATGATGATTGTGATGCTGTTGCTCACGAAGATAACCCAAGGGAATGTATGCAGCGAACATAACCATGAGATGCCACACAAATCATGATCAGCTCGTCTAAGGCAAAAGCATGGCAAGGCTAGATGCAACGGTGGCAGACCCTCGACCCTAAACCCCGAACCCTAAACTCTAAACCCTAACCCCTAAACCCAAACCCCTAAACCCTAATCCCTAAACCCTACAGAATTCTGGAAAGGCTTCCTGGCACTGCAAAGCGTGGCGGGGGCGTACGGGCCCTGTCCGAGATCCACGAAGAGCAGCACTCCGTCGCCCTTGGTTTTGAGGTCTGGCGTGACCTGGCTCAAGGACTACTGTAGGGGCCTCAATAAATAGAATTGGGGTTTGGGGGTATATTATACTATAGATATAATAGGGAACCCCCAGACTAGTAGTGGTAATTATTTAGGCCCCTAAAGTATTTCAAGCCAAACAAAGACCTGCGCATAACCACGAAACCGACCCCCCAGCAACTGCCGCGTCTTCTATTGGCTGCCAGTTGCCCTGTGACCACATGACACTACCTACACTGCCCTCACGACACCACGCACTGCCACAACAAACGCTACGACTGCGACGTGTACGACTGCGACGTGGACTACTGCTACTGTTGATGATATATAAACCTTGCATTACCTTAATGACCCTCCACGATGGGAATTATGGCATGTTCCTTATTATGGGTAATGCAGGATGTATATCATCAACCCTAAACCCTCATAGATCCCTTATAGATCCCATTAAAGGAAGCCTTATAGATCCCTTTAAAGGAACCCTAGGATTTTCAAACGTACTACTACTGTTCTACTCGGAGCCTTGATGCGGACGTCGGGCACCGGGGCCTGGAGAGAGCGAGAGGTCAGCGCAACATGGGCCATGGAATTTTCGTGCAGTACAACTTATCGGGTTTAGGGATTAGGGTTTCCTGGTACGGGTTGGAAGTCGAGAGTGTCGGGTTTTAAGGTTGAGGGTTCCAGGTTCAGGATTTCGGGTGAGTTTCTTAAAATGCTTGAAAATTCTTTGAAGTGTTCGTTCCCGATTTTTTCAGGCAGTTCCACGGGCGTTCTCTGGAAGGCTCTAGGGCTCTGAGAGGGGGTGCCTGGAAACCTTCCTCTCGGTTCACATCCCCTCATCTTGCTTAATGGGCTGAGGGTTTAAGGGTTTGGGGTTCAGGTGTTTCGGGGTTTAGGGTTTAGGGGTTTGGGCAGTAGGGTTTCGTGTTTAGGGCTCAAGGTTTAAGGTTTAACGGTCGCGGGAGGTTGAAAATTTCGATATTTCTCAGTCCTGGCAGGCTTGATCGTTAAGAAACCCAAGCGGGTCTCCACGTTATGCATAATATACCGTAATATAAGGTCTAGGGTTTAGGGCCCTAGGGGCCTAGATAGTTTCCGTTTGGAGTTCTTCGTCATGATTCTCGTCTATACTCCAAGTCTTCCGGTAGCAACCCTGAAAGGATTTCTGCTCCGGGGCAGATCCGGAGAAACATGAGCTGTAGCCTAGGGTTCCCGATTCGGGCTTTGGGTTTAAGGCTCAAGGTTTAGGATTTAGGGCACCTTGAGCTCAACCCCCAAAACCTTGATATATAGAACCCCTCTCACAGCAGCTCTCATAAGAGCCCTGATAGAACCTGATGGACCCGCTCTAAGAACCCTTTCTGGGCTTTGAAATAACCAGGGAGAAAACTCAGGACTTTGATTTCATGATGGTTCCTTTAAAGAAACAGGTCCAAAGAAAAGTTTTCAAGTATGGTACTCCAACCCCAGGCTGCTGATCTCTCCCCCCACAGAAATCTGCACACCTCAGACCCGGAAAACATCTGCAGCCCGAAGACAAACAAGGGCCCGCCTGAATCCTGGACCCTAAAACCCCAAACCCTTATGAACCCCTGAAAGGATCCTTTTGAAAGGAGCCCAGAAATCCCAAGTTCGACCCTAAACCCCACCCTAAAACTCCACAACTCCACATCGGAAGCCCTAAACTGAGGGTTTGGGGTTTAAGGTTTCGGGTTTGAGGGACCCCGAGAAAGCCGGGACCCCTGCGTAGACCGTGAGCACAAACTGCCCCGGGCTCTTGGCTGTCTCGACCTCGGGCAAAGATTTTAGAGGGATTCTCGGGCTTAGGGTTCCGGGGTTTAGGGTTGAGGATGCAGGGCTTTAGGGGTTAGAGTTCGGTTTAGGTTTTAGGGGTTTGGGGTGGATTTGATGAGACTATATGGGTTCTCTTTAGACTCTAGACGGTTCTATAAGGTCATCCATCTACAATAAGTCTACAAGGGTTCTACAAAGCTTCGTCGAGGATTCAGGGTTGAGCCTTGAACCCTAAAGCCTCCAGCCGCACGGTTTTTGTGTTTGGGGTTTCGGGCTTAGGGTCCCTGAACCCTAAACCCTGAAGCCTTACTTAGCTGAGTATTGAGACCGCTCACCCAAGTCATAGACCCGAAGCTCAACTTGAATATGTCCGCACCTATACCCGAACCCCTCAACCCCAAACCCTGTAGACGGTTCGAAGCCCTGTACCCAATGCACTAAACCGAGACCTAAACCATAGGTTTGCCGTACTCTGGTTCTGATTATCTTACAGAACCCCAATAACCCTAAACCCCAAACTGTGAACCCATTTGGACTCCTGAATGGAAACCCTACAAAGCCCCAGAACAAACCCTAAACCCTACAACTCCTAAACCTTAAACCCTGCAACTCCTAAACCCTGAAATCTCTACAACTCCTAAACCCCAAACCCTACAACTCCTGAACCCTGTACCCCAAAATCCCTACCTCTCCCTCGTGAACCTTAGAACCCCCCCCCAGCCGGCCTGGCCGTTGCCCAGCGGCACGCGGGAGGCCATGGACAGGGAGTCCTTCGAAGTCTGAGGATTTAGGGTTTCAAGGTTCAGGGTTTGGGGGTTTAAGGTTTGGTGGTTTAAGGTTCAGGGGTCTAGGTTTTAGGGGTTTGGGGTTTAGGGTTTAGGGTGGTTTATGGGGCTTAGGGTTGGGGGTTTATAGGGTATAGGCTTTTGGGTACATTGGTGTCTGGCACATGGCCGCATGCGGTGCAGGATCTCCGGAGACAACATGGGGACTAGCCGCTACTCAAGATTCTGGAATATGCAGTCAGGAAGAGGTGCTTGCAGCCAGAATGGACAAATCCGGAAGATAGGGTTTATAGGGCTTATGGGGCTTATAGGTTTAAAGGGTTTACAGGGCTTATAGGGCTTATAGGGTTTGGGTTTTAGGGTTTGGGGTTTCGGGTTGAGGGCTTTCAAAAATTTAGCAGGGCGGGTTAAAACTTAGACTTCAAGGTTCAGGGTTTCTAGGGTTTAGTGCTCATGGTCCCGGGCCTACAAATCATGGCGCCACGGGGACTTCAAGGGCTTTGCTCAAGCAGTTGAATGAAGCAGTGAAAGGTATGTGGCTCCCCGCTTGCCAAAGATGAGGCGAACTCGTCCTGATCCACCATCTTCTATGGGACCACGAGTAGTCTGCGATCCAGCGAGACCGCTGTTTCGTCTGACCACCCATGCACCATGATCTCTGTTGTGTCTTGAACTCCTGGAGCTGTCTCCTGTTGGATCGGCACACCTGTGATCTCGAAGTTGATGAGAGATGGGAATTCCACGCTGGCCACTGATGCAGTGTGTTTCATGGTTTGCTAAAGAAAAACAAGTCTTGAACAAAGTGCCGTCTCTCGCAGACACATCGCAAACTAATGCACTCTCCGAGTACATTATCATGAGTAACTACTCGTACGAGGAGTGCCACTACGTCTTGTAGAATTGTGAAAGACTTCAACTTGCCTTCCATCGAGTCCCTGCCTTTCGGACATCCTGAGCTGGACGCCCGACGTTAGTCCTCGAGTCAGCGCCCTGCGATCTGCTGCAGGAACGTGCCGGCCCCAGGCGAATCGCAAGTGAATCGTGAGATTGAAACTCCACGGCAGGTGCTTAGGGGCGCACTACCCTACAGACATGAAAGAAGACAAAGCCGGCCTGGACGGTCCTGGAGTACTTGAAGGCGAGTTCGCCGCAAAAGGTCGAGGGGTTGAAGGGTTAGGAGACCCTAAACCCTAAACCGATCTAGCGTCTGGAGCCTAGGGTTGGTGGTGTTCCTAAAATCCGGCTTCCCTTGGCTGAAGCGTTCCGCGTAATACGGATTCTACTGGGGTCCCTCATATCTGGCCCTCCCATGTAGCTAAGAACTCTGAGAAACCCTGCGGTAACCCTGAGGCACCCTGAACCCTAAACCCCTAAGCAAAACCTAAAACCTCGTAACTCTCAAACCATAAAACCTAAACGCTGAACCCCTAAACAAAACCTAAAAACTCTTAAGCCTCAAAGCATCGTCCTTGCCGCCATCGATGGCAATGCCCAGCTCGACCATCATGTGGCTTAGCGCCTTGGCACGGCTTCAGGGACGTAATTAGGGTTTAGGGTTTAGGGCTTAGAGTTTAGGGTTTAGTAGGGTTTGGGGTCTAGGGGGTTGGGGACGTAAGATAGAAGCCTTAACAAATAGAACTAGGGTTTGGGCTTCAGGGTTAAGGGTTTAGGCCTTAAGGTTTAGGGAGCTTGGTTTGGGGTATACTGTAGCATAAGTATGACATGGGGAATCATTCAGGCTTCTAAACCAGGGTTTGGGGATTCCAGCTCAGGGTCTTGAATCTTGGGCTTTGAATGCCAACGGTTTAGGGTTTAGGGTCTAGGGTTTAGAGGACAAAAAACCGGACCTTCTTACCCTAGAGCCCTACATCCTACATTGACATGAAAGGGGACAGCAAAGTGCTGCGGCGCGCTGGGGGCGGTTGACTTCAGTGTCGAAGTACTCCCCAAAGTCTCCCTTAAGCCCCAAAAACCCTACCCAATGGTTCTTAATGTGTTTATCGCATTCATCTTAAAAGTTTCTCACATAAGGGTTTTCAGGACTTCGCAATTGTCCATAGCTACAATCCGGAACCTGACATCCCCGAAGGCTGAACCCAACTTGCTAGGCCCCAAACCCTGAATCCCAAGCTCCGAACCCGACACCCTGCCTAGTCCCAGGCCTGCATGCTCCGGAAATACTGCAACTTGGAGTTTCATACAATTGGAGAAACCAAAAACCAAGGCCGTCGGTGGTGCACGGTCCACCTTGCCCGTGTTTTGGTGCCGCTTTTTGGCTCCGGGCCTTGGTTCCTGTGCGAGCCGGACCTTCGCTGGTCCTGGTGTCGATCTTTGAGACGGCTGGCAGCGGACAGCGTCCCCGAATGAAGCCTGTCAGGTTGCCTTCATTCTTTGTCACTTAGGAGTCGCTGTGGATGCTGGTCATTATCTCACGCGCTCCTCGTCGTGACGACCCACACGCCGCGTAATCCTCATTTCAATCCGACGTAACGCTGCCATGCAGTCCAATGTGCGGTGGAACTGCATGGCTGTTTGCGAACAATATCGCACGGCCTTGCCTGTGTGCCTTTCCCCAGCCCTAATGCTGATGGATGGGATCATTCGGTTTGTGACGACAATAAGGACTCATCCTAAGGAGGTTGATGCGGTTCATCCTGACTCTTACCCTGATAGGCCTCATCCGTAGATTGGAGAGTCTTATAGTTGTCTTCTAGAGATCGTGGGCTCAGGGTTTGAGGTTTGTAGTGTTGGCTCAGGGTTATTTTTTGGAGGGTCTTTTTGAGACTGCATTAGTGACTAGGCGGCTCAGCCCAGATTGGGCAGGCATACTAGCCAAAACCTCAGCACTACTCTCAGATGTGGCTCAAGGGTTGAAGGTTTTGGGTTCTGGTTTTTGGCATAAAGGTTTAGAAGTTCAGGGTTTAGCGCTTAGGGTTTAGGGGCGAGTCTACCGCCCCCAGAACACCCTTTTTGGATGATGCCTTACATAGCCCTCACAACATCCTTACCAAACCCCTAAACTGTTGAATCCTGATTACGAGTGTCTACCGCCCCCAGAACACCCTGTTTGGATGATGCCTTACACAGCCCTCACAACATCCTTACCAAACCCTTAAACTGTTGAATCCTGATTACAGTTAGCAACTAGTATTGCTGCTCTTACTATTGATATTAGCGTTATTGCTATTATTAGGGTCATAATTATTGGTACTGCTTTTAGTACTCTTAGGAAATATCGTGGAACCCTGACAAGACGGACAGATCCCCCATAGGACCCCCGTAAACCCCCTTACAATAACCCGTCAGAGAAGCTCTACTCGGGGGTTCCAAATCCGGCACTGACACCTTGAAGGGTGAAAGCTTCAGGATTCAGGGCTTTGGGTTTAAGGGTTTAGGGTTTAAGGCTTTGGGTTTAAGATTAGGGTTTAGGGAGGTAACCCTAGGTTGAAAGGGCGGCCTCGGCAATGTCGTACATCTTGGGGCCCTCTCCTGCATGTAGCCAGCTAGCGAACCCGTAAGTCTGCATCCAGATCTTCATACATGCCGCTCTGCATGACATTACACTACATTACAGTGTATTACATTACAAAACATGACATGACAGTACATGATATTGCGCTATATATAACACTAAAAGTTCGTTACATTGCAGTAAAGTGCACTACTTTGCAAGCATAGAACATAGCATTTCTGCAGCATGGCACAGCCTAACAGATAAAAACATCATATGTACAAAGCATAACATTTTCAGAACCTGAAACAGCATAACATAACGCAACATAACATAGCATAACATCACATAACATATCCTGGTGCTTAACATACCAGTACACGGCATAAGAATGCATAGCATTACATTACACAATATTGCATAACACCGCATAACATTACACAGCAGTATACGGAACAACTTAACACAATGTAAAATAACATAACACCAACATTACATACATTTGTACTCGCCTTCATACCTACAGACGTGCATGCATGCATGCATGCATGCATGCATACATACAAGATCATACAAGCATTGCATTGCGTTTCATTACACTACATTGCCTTGCATAGCATGCATGCCTGCACGCACACAGAGAAACACCTGCCGATCTACCTACCCCCGAAACCCTAAACCCTGAGCCGATCTACCTAGCAGCAGCTACTGTACTTGCCTACCACCTGCCCAGCTGCATGCCTGCCTCCGCCAGAAACAACACGGGGTTTAGGGTCTGGGGTTTAGGCTGCCTAGCTTCCTTTCTTACGCCTACCGACCAGCCTGCCTAAAGTAGATTGGCAGGTTGCAGTTTCCTCACGAATACCGCGAATCCAGACCCCCGACCCGAAGCTTGCAACAAAGCTGGTTGCAAGGCCAGAAAGGTCTGAGGATCCAAAAAGTAGATCCCTTAATGGGGGTTCCTATAAAGTACCCTTAGTAGTATAGGGCCCCAAATTAGGGGATTCACGGCTAAGACTGCTAAGACTCTCGGTTACGGCTCCCGGCTGTCCTGGCAGCTTGGCAGCCCACATCCAGTTGCCGGAAGCCTTTCGGAAAGGATGCCCTAAACGGATTGGGGCTTTGCGCTACAGCCTGAGCACACCCCCTCAGCAGCAGTTGCCACAAGGGACTGGCGTAGCTGTGTACAAGGGGCCCTAGTATTTCTTGGTTCCAGCATGGTTGCTGATAGGGGCATACACCGAAATCCTAAACCCTAAACCCTAAACCCTAAACCCCTAAACCCCCAAACCCTAAACCCTAAACCCCTAAACCCTAAACCCTAAAAAGACTTGCTGTGAGCTTCCGAAAGCCTAAACCAGGGCCTTGGGTCTCGTCGAGGGTTTTTGTGGGTTGGAAATTTACGGATTTGGGCTTTCGGCTTTAAGGTTTAAACTTGTACATCCCGAAATCCCGAAACTTGAATTTTAAGCACCCGCATGCAATTATTCGATCCGAAAATTTCCCTGAGCCAAGGCATGCCGTCTTTCAAAAAGCTTGGTTCCAACACACTCCAGGTGCAAGCACAACTGTATCCTGAACCCCTAAACCCGAAGCCCTAAACTCTGAAACCCTAATTACTAAACCCCAAACCCTAAACCCGAAGGGTTTGATTCACAAGTTCACTCAGTTGAAAGTGCAAGGTGTCGATAGGGTGTTGGGGTGTAGTAGTAACTATACTTATGTCAAAGACTTCATTGTACGGGCACAATATTACTAAGCATATTGACCCTGAACCAGGGGGCCCTAATATAGGGGCCTTAATAATTAGAAGAGGGTTTTGGGGCCCATTAGACTAGAGTTATATTGGCCCCTATACTATAGAACCCTACTATAGACCCCTCAAAAAGACCACTTTAAAGGAACCCTTTAGAGGAACCCTGTAGGTAACTATTTTGGGCCCTACAGTAATAGTAATAGTAATAGTAATTAAACCCTAAAAGCCCTAAACCCTACATCGTCACACAGACGCTCGAAGCCGGCTGTGGGTTCGTTATAAAACTGAACACAAAAACCATTTAGGGTCTCTGAGGGTTCAGGGCTTAGGGTTTAAATTGTAATTCCGTGGCGATCATCCGTTATAGTTACCATATACGACTATTCTAGCAGAAAATGCACGGAATTCCTAATCTAAGCATCAAGCGGCCTCTGTTTTGCGTTGCGATGAGCCTAAACCCTAAACCCTAAACCCTAAAGCCTAAACCCTAAACCCTAAACCGTAAACCCTAAACCCTAAACCGTAAACCCTAAACCCTAAACCCTAAACCCTAAACCGTAAACCCTAAACCCTAAACCCTAAACCCTAAACCGTAAACCCTAAACCCTAAACCCTAAACCCTAAGCCCGTGTTTTTCGAAACTCCCCGGCCCACCTTGATAGAGTCGAGCGTGGGGATGCGGATCCAAACAAGATTCGTCAGGGCCTTTTCACCACGGATTTAGGGTGTAGGGTTGTAGGGATTTTTGGGGTTATGGGGGTTTAGGGTTTCAGAAGGGTTTTAGGGTTTTGGGGTTTAAGGGTTTAGGGTTTAGGGTTGAAGGTTAATAGGGTTTAGGGTTTGGGGCCTTTTCACCACCAGCCGGCTCGGTCGTCTCGGTTTCGGTTTCTGCGATTTAGGAGGGTCGAGGATTCTTAGGATATGTGGTTCTAGGTTGTCCAGGTTCGGCTTTTTGGCTTCTTGGGTTTCGTGTTTAAGATACATGGTTTTAGTTTTTAGGTGTTGCGGTTTGCGATTTGGTGCTTCCGAACATAGGGGACCCTAAAGTAGTACCCTAAATAGTAGTATCCTTATTATAAGGACCCCAAAATAAGGTACCCCCTTGTTTTCGGAAACTCCCATTTCGGTATTCTTAAGTTGAGGATTTGGGGTCTGGGATTCCTCGGGGAGTCGTAAGCTTAGGGCTTGGAAGATTGGGGCTTAAGGGCTTCCGGGGATACAGGTTTAGGGTGTAGGGCTGAAATTTCAACTTATGCGTTCCAGAGGGCGCTTCCCTGATAGGGGTACGACCGGATTCTTCCACAGGGCTCTAGAGCTTGCTGTTCAGTGCGAAGAGGGTTTACTGCGAGCAAGATTCTTGGGGCAGCAGGGCTGTTCAAGGATAAGCAACGGTCCTGGGGCATATACTGCACATGGCTTCTGCCACGTCTGTGAGGGGTTTTCCCATGCCCAGGTCCCCTCTGGTTGTAATTAACCGTAATTAACCTTTCTTCCTGCTCCAGAGCGGACCCGGAGGATCTTCATTGCCAGTATTTGCAAGATAGCTTCGGGTTGAGGGTTCAGGGTTTAGGGTTTAGGGTTTAGGGTTCGATACATCACATCTATGACAAGGGACTGCGCAGCTTGCAGCATCGTCTTGCTAATACTGCTGCCGTTACGCAAAACCCCAAACCCTGAACACCAGCTTGGCTGCATCATGTTGACGGCCTCCTTGGGAAGGTCGTTTAGTTTGCAGGCCCGAAGCTGAAACCCTACTCATGCCACGGACAAGAGTTTATTTTGCCTTCTGCGATCATGTCCTAAGACCCCTTCATCAGATGTGACACCCCTACTCAAGCCCTGAAATGCCCAGGTGAGGCCCTGATCCCTTGAACAATGCACTCTCAGTCTTATATCCTGCACCCTGAATCTGGAATCGTAAATCCAAGTCTGAAAGCCAAATCATGAATCGAAATCTTTACTCCTGAATCTTAAGTCCCAAACCCTGCGCCTGAATTTCGAAACCCTTAACCTTCTACCATGCCCTAAACCCCGTAAACCTGAAACCTTTAACCTGGAATTCTAACATGTCCCGGGGGGGCCTCCGCCACTGCCAAGCGGGCCATGCTGACGCAGCTGGCTGGGTCGCCTCCACTGCACAAAAACCATAGAGAAAATAGCTTGGAATAGGATTCACCCTTAAACCTTAAACCAGAAACCCCGACCCCAAGCCTCAACCTTACATGGGCTTGCAGAGTCTTCCGCTTAGGGCTCATCAGAATTTGGGACTCTGGGGCTAAAGACTTACGCTTGTGGGTGTTGCGGTTCTGGAGTTTCGAGTTTCGGGTTCCCCTGACCACCCGTGAAGAAAATTTTCGGGCTCGAGTGCTGGGAGGATGTCATGCTTGCACGGACCTTTCGAAGGCCACAGTTGAACCCGGTCGAGACGGTCTCACCAGCAGCGGAGCGAGGACAGTGTCACTGCGGCCTTCGGACCCGTGTAGCGACTGCAGGTGCTCCAGACAAGACCACCCCTCATTTCTCGCTGTCGTCATTGGCTCATGCTGGCTGCTGTACGTTCCAATCAGGGCCTGCCGGTTCGTACAGCCGCAATCTCAAGCGGTGTCTGGCCGCAGATGTTGATGAGTCATTGATGAGGGCGCGCTGCTGCAGTGTGACTGTATTTTGTGTCCGGAGTTTGAGGACTCAATTTGAGGTTCTGCACTGTGGGGTCGGTTTACATAGCCCTCAAACGTTCTGGGTCTACACTTTAAGGTTTGGGGTTAATGTCATTCTGGTCTGAGGTTTTGAGTTTGAGACTTAGAGACTCAGCGTTTAGGATTTACGCTGTCGGGTCTCCCATAACCTTCCCTAAAAACTCTTCAACCCCCTACTTCTCACGCTGAACAAAATCTACACCCTGTAAAATACATAAACCCCAGGCCCTAAAGCCCTACAAAAACCCTAGCCAAACGCTAATAGCCCTGAACCCTAACCCTAACCCTAAACCCTAAACCCCAAACCCCTAAACCTCTAAAACCCTGAACACAAAACTACTGAACCCTAAAAGCCCAAAGCTCTGCAAGCCTGCCAAGCCCTTCAGCGGCTGCTCGCCGATGGCGGTGGCGCCGCCGCTGGTGGCCAAAGGACTCCTCAGCACCGAGGTTTAGGGTTTAGGGTTTAGGGTTTAGGGGTTTAGGGGTTAGGGTTTAGGGTTTAGGGTTTAGGGTTTAGGCTTTAGGGTTTAGGGCTTAGGGTTTAGGGTTTAGGGTTTAGGGTTTAGGGTTTAGGGTTTAGAGTTTAGGGTTTAGGGTTTAGGGATCTTACAGCGGTTTAGGGTTGAGGGTTCCTTCTAAAGGGATCTATAGGGGTTCTAGAAGGGGATCCATAAGGGGGCTTACAGGGCTTATATGGTTTAGGGTGTTGGGCTATAGGGTTTATAGGGTTTCAGGGTTTAGGGTTTCAGAAGGGTTTAGGGGTTTAGGGCTTTGGGGTTTAGGGGTTCAGGGGTGAGGTAGGGGTGCGGGGGTTCGTCGGGCTTTAAACGGTGTGTTCTATTGGAAGATGTATTGTAAGGGCCTTATAAGGGCTTTCTAGTGCGATCGGAGACCGGGTTCCTGTGAAGGGCTCTCTGTTTTATAGATTTACCAAACGGGCTTTATCTTGCCAGGGTCTTGCATAACATACTGCAAAGGCTCTACAAGGCTTCTACGAGCATTCTGTAACGGTGAGGGTTTAGGATTGAGGGCTTGGAGGTTTATGCTGGGTTTTGGCATTGAGGGTTCAGGGTTTAAGAATGACTGCTGGGGTTTAGGGTTCACGATTGGTTTTGCAAGGACAATATCAGAGGCAGTTGTCATATCCGGTAGGAGCAGTACCAGGAGTAGAAAGGAGATTACTAGAAATATCGACAGGTACTGGCCATCATCGTTGTCATCCCGGCATCAAAACCATGCCTGCGCGAGGAAGAACACTGATGCTAGTTACGGGGACACTAGGGGTCGAGTAGCACGAAGCCAAGACACCACTCAAAGTAGCAACGAGGCTAAAGCCTGATCCCTAAGTCCTACACCCCAAATTCATAGCTACTAAGCCTCGTAGTAACCCTTGTAGTAACCCTTCTCTTATAGTGTCCCTTGCAAAAAAAGACCCTAAACCTTAACCTAAAGCCCTGCAGAAAGCTTGTTATTCGGGCCAGGCATCTGTGCAATGCACGCGAAGTCGGCTAGGGGCGTCTGCAGCGGACCCACACCTGCTGGAAGTCACAGGGTTTAGGGTTTAGGGGTTTAGGAGTTTAGGGTTTAGGGGTTTAGGGTTTAGTGTTTGGGGGTTTAGGGGTTTAGGGTTTAGGGGTTTAGGGTTCAGGGGTTTTTGTTGTAAGGGATACTATAAGAGCTTCTATAAGGGTTGATCTGGGCTTGGGGTTTCTTTAAGCTTGCGGCTCAGGAGTGTTGAAAGCTGTGCTATGAGGCTTCAATCAAGGCTTCAGAGTTGATGGTCCGCGAGCGTTTTGGGGTATAGGGCTCGGGACTCGCACTTCTAACCGTCAGCAATGCGTTCCAATTTCATTGACATGTCGACACCTGCGTCTATATCTACGGTCTTTGTAAACATATCTGTGTAAAGGAATGTGTGTGTGTGTGTCAGAGAACATCGACAGACAGACCGACGGACGGACAGACAGACAGACAGATGAACAAACGGACACGCAGACATCCATGCATATGCATGCATACACGCATGCATGCACTGAGTGTATGTGTGTATGAATGTGTATGTAGGTGTGTGTGTGTGTGTATGTGTATGTGTGCATGTGTATGTAGATGTACCTGTATCTGTATACGTATACGTAAACGCATCTATATCTGTATACACATATGTATATGTGTTGTATATGTATATGTACATCTGTACGTCGTACGCGTCTCTGCATATGTAAGTGTATAGGCATATGTCTATGCACGTATATTTAGATGTGGATGTATATGTTTCAGTGTATGTATAAGTACATGTATGTGTATATGCATTATACCTGTATGTCTGTCTGTCTATCTGTCTGTCAGTCAGTCTGTCTGTATGTATGCATGCATGTATGTATGTATGTATGCGCACTTGCATGGATGTATGGATGCATGGATGTACGGGTGCATGTATCCAGAAGATTGTACTTCAACGCACACAAGTCAGCGGGGGTGCCAGCGCCCTCCAACTTGCTCTTGGAAATCTCTTCGTTCCTCAAGCAGCCTGCCTTTCGCACGTCAAGCACACACTCGAACCACAGAGGAGGTTGTTGCCGGCGGGCTCGCCGCCGGCAAGGTGGTACTTCTTCAACACATCGGAGGCCAACCGATCTGGACTCCCTCTGGGGATGGTAGCTGCAGAGCTGAACGACTTGCATGGGAACGCATTCCTTGCACCTTGCTCACATCCAGATTTAGCCTGCAGGCCTGCTCTTTAAAGAGCATGCAACAAGTGACTATATTTTTCTCCAGGCGCCTCTGGGTTGTGAGCCTCGGGGAGACTCTTCGTGTCATTCGACTCACCGTCCAATGAGATCCTCGTTTGGTTCGCAACTCCACATTGCGGAGTTGAGTATCCACGCATCTCCCGGAGTGAGCTGAGTCGCGCACTCGTGCCGAGGGACGAGGCACGACGGACGAGTGTTCAGGATCTCCGGCTTGGGATTCATACAGGGGCCTTACTTATCAAAATAGGTTTTTTGGGGCCCATTATACTATAATTAGAATAAGGAACCCCCAAAATAGCACTTGTAATTATTAAGGCTCCCATATTAGGGCTGGTGTTTGGAGAAGCGATGATCCACCACCCAGGACCCTCAGGGTTTTTTTTTTTTTTTTTAAGGGCTCCTTTTTGGGTCCGCACGAAGAGTACCAAAAGCCTGTTTAGGCGAGCGGTGGGTGCCGTAGGCATGGTACCTCGACACAAAGTTGCCCCCTCAGCCGATCATGTACGTCACCCTCATTGATCGAACTTTCGTTTGACCCCCTGCTCATACAGCTCACCCGAAGACCCTTCATCCAAGCCAGACCCAGGGTTTAGGGTTTAGGGTTTAGGGTTTAGGGTTTAGGGACCCCGAAACGCAACAGCCTGAAGCACGGAGCCCTAAACACAGAAACTAGGCCCTACTTTTTTTCGACTCGCAAGCTTTCAAGTCAAAGAGCCCCTAAACTAAACCCTAAACCGCTGCCAGGCAAGATGCACTGCTGCTGTGCAATCTGGCCGGTGACGGATCGATCGACCTTTGTCGGGGAAACTGACACCGTTTACTTCCGGCTCATGGGCAGCGGGTTGCAATGCTGGGGCCTTGATTAGAATAGGGTGTAGGTGCACGTTATACTCTGTCAAGGTTAATAAGGCCTAAGGAGTATGAGGGCAATCATGTAGGGGCCTCAATAGTTAGAGTAGGGTTTTGGGGTATATGATGCTATACTGTAAACAAAGAACCCTAAGGAATAGTCAATGGAATAATTAATGCTGGCAATTGTTGAGATTTTAAAAATTTTCCCTAAGCCCCTTAAACCTCAAAGGACTTTCGTCACGCCGAATCCTAAGCCATAAACCCCGCATCCTAAACCCTAAACCCGGATCCTAAACCCTAAACCCCGAATCCTAAACCCTAGACCCTTGAACCCTAAGCCCTTGAAGCCTAAACCCGAGACCCTTAGAGCCGTAAGCCTGAACCCTACATGGGTGGTTCTCAAAATCAGGGTCCCTTTTTGGGTCCTTAATATAATACGGCAGCTATTATTTAGGGTACCCAAAAGGGGGACCATGATTTTGACAACCACCCACATCCCAAACCCTAAGCCCACGTCCCGCCTGGAGCCTGAAACCCTCAGGCTTCACTCCTTGGGTCCCTTTAAAGGGATCTACCTAGGGTTCCTTTAAGGGATCTATAAGAGGTCTATAAGGGATCTACAATATCCCTTAAGTAAGGAACATACGTTAAATCTTATTCGGGATCCTACGATGAGAAAAGGTACATTCCTTCCCTTCATTAAGGAACATACCTTAGATCATATTAGGGATCCTACGATGATTTAAGGTATATTCCTTAATTAAGGGATGTTAAATAGAGTCTCTGGGTTGCATGCAGACTTAGCCGGCCGCCTTGTTGGTCAGGAATCGCTTGGAGCACACTGACAGGAGGCGCAGTACACCTGGCCGTTCTCCAAACTGCTAGCAATAATCATCATCATGATAATCTGTTCTGTTCTACGAAAAATCCGAGTTATAAATGGGCTTATAAGTCCCTTAATAGGAGTTATAACTATTATGATCCTAAGAAGCCCAATATTTTTGATAATAATAGGGCTTGTTTGGGACACAGTTTCAGACCTGAGCTGCGTCCAAGAGACCTCAGTCTCATAAAAAAAACCCAAAGACTCCGACTGCTTTTGGGGCCCCAAGATTTAGAACAGGGCTCCTTTTCAGGGGCTCTATAAAGGAGCTCCTTGAAGAGGGTTTAGTATTCGGGCCTTGATGATTAGAACAGGGTTTTGGTGCTTTGTCTACTCGGGTTATATACATAGAACAGCCAACCCTGAGGAATAATACTGGTACCTACAGGGGGCGCGACGTGTGCAGAACCCTACTTTCTGCAGCGATTGTCTTTGGCAGCCTTATATAGAAAAATATGTTCGACACCAACACTCGGACACCCTCGACCCTTGTCTAGGAAACTGTTAAAGACTAGCAACTCTGACAACAACAATAAATGATACACGCGCACTCGTAGTTTTCGGGGTTGAGGGCTGAGGAACCACAACAAGTATCACCTACCTACCTACCTACCTACCTACCTACCTGCCTGCCTACCAGCATACATACATACCTACACAAACCAGGGCATGCCAGTGGGATACTCTACTTGTGAAGTCTCTCGTGCCCCTTCGATTTGAAGGGCAGCTTGCATGCTTGTCGTGCTCAAAACTACCTAGCAGCCCGGTTCATATGGCCGCAAAACTTTACACTGTACTTGCTATGCGGGGTTTAGAGTCTACCGTCGGGACAATCCAAATCTGTGCCAAATCGATGCTGATAGCAAAACCTGGAGGATGTCACCTGTGCTAAAATCCCCAACCCCCACCCCAACGCGATTTCCGAAAGATCCAAAACCTTCACCCGAAGCCTTACAGGCTGAACTCCATTCAGTCCCAAAAACCTGCAAAAAAAAACCGCGCCTGTCTCTAACGCCACCTGCACCGTCAGCGATGCTGGAAGGTCCTTAGCCGAAGGTTAGCCGCACTTCCGGTACAGTAGCGACAGTAGGGCTTCGTCAGTCATGTTAGCAACACCCCTGTTACCTCGATCCAATTCTCTGTGCGGTTGTCATGGTTGTGTGTGAGGACCACGAAGACTTTGACACAAGCGCCACACGATTGCTGCTACCACTGCCGCCAGCGCAATGTCTCACAATGCTACGGCGTACTCTACGACGACAACGAGGCGACGCCCATGGCACTCTCACCTTCAGCATCGTGATCGTCACCTTCATCGTCATCAGCAGTAGCAGCAGCGCTAGCACCTCCGCTACAAAGTTCGGCCTCGCAGCAGGGAGTCATCTGCGCATGATCATGAGAAGAACAGCACCCACCTGATGTCTGACGTGGCGCTTTGGTCAGGACTGCGAACATCTGCGACATGCCGGGAAGAAGCTCACGGGACACAGGTAAGGGTTAAGCATCTACCTCACATATCCGCACATGATAACCCTCAAGGCCTAAACCTCACAACATGGATCTCCTCTTCAAGCCCCAACCTCAAAACACAACCTTCAAGGCCTCAAATACATCTTCTGACCTCAAAGTCTAGATTGGCAGGTTCAGGGCTTTGAAGAAGATCTCTCTCGGCCCAAACAGGGGAAAATGTACTCGGAGGTTCATGGGTAGCTATAAGTGGCGTTATAAGTCCCCTAATATGGGTTTTAGAGTTATAGATACAGTTACCCCACTCACAACCGCACTTATAACTACCCATGAACCTCCAAGTAGACCCTAAACCCTATACCCTTATAGAATCCCCATAGATCCCTTTAAAGGGACCCTTAAAGGAACCCCGCGCCGAGTGTCCAGGGACCTCGGCGGCTTCTTGTAGAGGCGCTGCATGGGGAAGACTTTCTGAGGCATCTTGCCCAGCACCTGGGAAGCTTCAGATTCAATGGCTACTTGGAGGTTCATGGGTAGTTACGGCTACTTGGAGGTTCATGGGTAGTTACGGCTACTTGGAGGTTCATGGGTAGTTACGGCTACTTGGAGGTTCACGGGTAGTTACGGCTACTTGGAGGTTCATGGGTAGTTACGGCTACTTGGAGGTTCATGGGTAGTTATAAGTGGAGTTATAAGTAGGGTAACTACCCATGAACCTCCAAGTAGGGACTCTGACTGGGGGGGGTTTAGGGTTCCGGGCTTTGGTTTACGCTTTGGTGCTCGGGGTAAAACTGAGCTGCTGGTTCAGGGTCGCAGAAACGGTCCGGCTTAGGGTTCAGGGTCTGGGACAAGCGGCAACCCACGTCCCACGCCGAACCCTGGCCTCATAGCCCAGTTGGTTTTCGATACAGCAATTCACACCTTCTGTCCTTCTTTCTTGCCCTTGCGCGTAGTTATCACAGTCCATATAGGAGCCGTGATTTTGAAACCCTTTTCTCAGGGTTTAAGATGTCTCTCGGAATGTGGGTCTAGGGTATAACTTTTTACGTCTCAGGGCTCAGGGCTGAGGACAGGGATGGATAGAGGGCGAGAAACCAGCACCCACAACTCTAAAACCGCACAGCGAGAGCCCAAAGCAGCAAGTAATAGAAATGATGACTGCCATCTGAAGTACGGCCGCTGACAGTACTCATAGTCATACTAGCAGTGGTAGGAAAATAGGAACAGTCAACGGAAAGCGCAACTATCACAGGAGCAAGCGCCTTGTCCAAGGGAAGGTCGACCGGCGTGCTTCCGTCGCGGCTGTCCTGTAACATGCACTCATACTGTCATTCGGATGAGAAGTTTGTTTCAACCCTAGCAGCTGTAGCAGCCCAACCTTAAAACCTAAACCCTGAAGCAGAAAACCTGTAGCCCAGTTGATGCAAGCCGCCGCCACCGGGCAACAACACCAAGTCCAACATCAAACACCACAAGCACCACAGCCACCACAACAACAGACACCAGTGGCCTGCCAGCCCACGTATGGCTATGCAGGCTTTGGCACCGTACGGTATGCACCGCCGTACGACCCGGACACAGCCAGTAGTTCAGGCTGCGGAAGTAAGGGCTTCCGGCTCACGCTTTCAGGAAGCTAAATGGTTTAGGGTTTAGGGTTTAGTGCCCACAATAACAGCAGTAACAACAGTAACAAAAGTCATCAGAAGATTATCCTCGCCATCATCCTTGCCATTGCTTGCTCGGAGCCTGGACGTTCACCCTTTTGTCTTGCGGTCGGATCTCGACTACCAACAACAAACACGATTTCGGCACCCTAAAAACCCTAAACCCTAAACCCCAATAAAGAGCAACAGGCGAACGGGAGTCTTCCTCGGGCTTCCGTTCTCACCGTTTCTTTTTTGTCAACACAGTTCCCCCACGCAAAACGCTCACAAGCTGCAAGTTTGGACGGACACTATGCAAACCCCAAACCCCTCAAAGGAGCCCTAAAAGGAACCCCTTCAAGAAGCCCTTAGAAAGAAGAGGTGGCGCCGCCTTCACAACCACCTTCCCGTCGCCAGTGATGGTTCCTCGGCCAAGGAGCATTGTGAAATCCCCAGGTCTCGAGCAACGACTCCAGAGACGAAGCTGACAATATAGGGGCCTTAATAATTTGTTTAGGCTTCCCTTTAAGAAATATTTTGTTTAGGCTTCCCTTTAAGAAATAATTTGTTTAGGCTTCCCTTTAAGAAATAATTTGTTTAGGCTTCCCTTTAAAAGGGGTCTATAAGAATTGTTAAACAACTTGCTTGGGGCTCCCTTTACGGGGGTCTATAAGAGATACTCCAAGGGTACCATGATGTAGAGGCCTTAAAGGGAACTCCAGAAAGTTGGAATATGGTTTCAGGGTAGGATACCCTATAATTTACCATAAAGGGTTTAGGATAATCATATTCCAACTTTCTGGCTTCTACTGTAATAATTAGAGAGAAGAACCGAGGGACTCTTAGGGTCCCTTCAAAGGGATCTGCCTAGGGTTCCTTTTAGGGGGGTCATCTATCAGGGATCTATAGGGTTTCGGGTTCAGGGGGACCCCAATATCCCTGAATTAAGAAGGAAGAGATCTTAAAACATATTATATAGGGGACCCTAATATGGTACCCTAAATAGTAGGTTCCTCACTATAAGGACCCCAAAATAAGGTACTCCTATTTTTTTTAGGGATCCTGCTGTGATTTAAGGTATCTTCCTTAATTAAGGGGTGTAGGAGTCTCTGGGAAGCTGACCCACCCCTTCCCGAGGAGTCCCGAAACTCTACAGGGCTTTCAAGAGTCGCTTGATGAATATGAACATGTATACACATCTGTACAGTCTGTTATCATATACATATGTATCTCTTTTGACAGGGTTTAGTGTGTAGCGAGGATTTGGGGGTTATTTTCCATGTCTTGCGAATCGGGGTCTTTGCTGTGGTACCTGGTTGTCTGAAAAGTGTTGTGGCTGTGGTCTGCTGGCTCGATTGCCTGTTCGCAAGACGGAATGTGCAAGGGGGCGGCCGGCCAGTTCTTGCATCGTCTGTATAGAATACAGTATCTCTACAGAAGCTTGCAGACTTCATCTGTCCTCCGTCCCGCATTTGCGCTTCCTGTACCTCTCCTCTCCCGGCCTCTCTCTATCTCCCTCTCTCCCTGCTTTCTGCTGAAGTTTAGCATCGAAGCTTTGTCCACGCAAGGCTTTCCATCGGCAAAGCCGTTCGAAGATTCAGAGATCTGATGCTGCACTTTCTAAAGTTGCATGGCTGTAAGGCTGAGGCAGTCACCGAGCTCAATACCCTTAAAACGCTAGGCTTAGGTAGCAACTCTGGTTTAGCTTGCCTGCGCCGATTCAGTCATCCTCATGCCATTTGGTGTTTTGCGCTACGTCTCTGTGACAAAGTTGCTCCCAAGTCCTCTCGAAAGAAAGCTACTTCCTCTATCATTCCAGATTGGTCTTTCCTTCCGTCACATTGCATTCCAGCATGCTTTGATGCTCCGGATGTTCGTGCGGCTATGTGAGCATAGTGGATAAAAAAACAGGTCCCCGAGTTTCTGAAACTACCTTACAACGCAAGCACCCCAGAGGCAGGGTTTGAGTTTTTTTTGGGTTTAGGGTAGTGCGTCGGGCCTAAGCTCATACGAAATGAACCACCCACAACCCACAACCCACAGAAGACGACGCTGGAGCAGTCGTGTGCAATGCACTACAAATCACTCAACAACCCGTGAACCCGTAAAACCTGCACCTTGCACCCTACATCCTAAATCCTTGAATCCTCAAACTCTAAATCCCTTACCCTCGAACTCTAGATCTTTGAACACCAAGCTCCACCACTAAATCCATGAACCCCTGAACCCATTGAACCCTAAACAAACCTCCTTGGAAACCCTGATACAACCCTTACACAAGCTGTTCAAGCCTGTATGAGCGCTTATGAAACCTCAACAACACCTTTCCAAACCTTGTACAAGCTCCTACCAACCCTTTATGAACTACTGGAGAACTCCTCCCCACAAAAACCCATTCTTCCGTGGTTCCCATGATGGCGTAGGAAACCTTCTCTCGCTTGCAGATCTTGTCAAAGAGCTCCTTGGCTGGCCCCGGACTAGTTCATTGTTGGGATAGGATTAAAAATGTCCATGTTTATTCCTTATTGGGTTCAAGTACCCATAAAAATGTAAAATGTTACCCAACTATGACAAAGAGGAGGGTCTAATCATGTTTACCAAGGGTTTGGGTGGGTTTACGGTGGGTTTGGGAAGTGCGCACAGTTCAGGGTTAGGTTCAGGGTTCAGCGCCTTAGCGTGATTGCCAGAAACTTTTATGCGGCTACTATGCTGTAAGGGCCTGTGAAAGCTGCTACTACCACGGATTTTGTAGGTACTCAAAGTGGCTGCAAGAGGCGCGACAAGGATTTTTGTGAGTTACTATAAGGACTACGACAAACATCTGTTGCAAGAGTAATAAAGGTTACTAAATTTCTAATTACTAAAGGGTTAGTTACTACAAGGGCGTGGTTCAGGGCTTTACAAAAGTTACTGAGGGATGGAATTGTGCCTGTATAAGGGCATGGCTTCCCGCCCAAGGTCCCCCACCTCTCTGGCGATGAGGTGGCAGAGGCCAGTTTGGAGATTCTATATCCAGCCTCACGATATGCATGAGGTTTGCACCATCGATGTTCCCGCGACCTGTACATCTCTTCATTCCGCTGATGCCACTTGAGCAGGGGCACTCGAAGGGTGATGGGTCTGGGAACCCTCCAGCTGTCGGGACGAAGGCCTTTCTTGACTAGCACCGGCTCCTCCATCCGTGGAGGGATCACCTCTATACACATCATGAATCGTAATGATAAAACAAAGATACATTTAACGTAACTCCACCAAGCTAGAATCTGTAGTAATACATAGCCAAACTACGCCATCTCAAGTTCCCAAATTCCTAGTCAGCCTCCATGCCAATGCCGAACTGCTAGTCAGTACTCCATGCCGACGAAACAACAAACCTGCCCTTTAAACAACACCTACATTACAGACTAAGCCCAAAAAAACAAAATGCTCGTCGTCGTAGTTCCTACAGCGCACAACTACCAGTGCCAAACACAACACTCCCAAAACCAAGAGCCTGCTAGGGGGGCCTTAATGTTTAGAGTCGGGTTTTGTGGCCCATAATTCTACAATTATAATAAGGAGCCCCCCAAAATAGTATAGATAATTATTAAGGCCCCTATAGTAAACCCTAGAAACCCTGAAGCCTCCAAAGCCTGCTGAGGTCGGGACGGCCGATTCCGCAGGAAGGAGAAGGGCATTGTTCTCCTGCAGCATCTAGTTCATTGATGGGGTAGAATTAAAAATTGTCCATTTTTCCTTATTGGGTTCAAGTAAGTACCCATAAAAAGATAAAATGTTACCCAACTACGACAAAGGCATGGTGGGGCAAGGTGTGATGGGCCATGGGACTAGCGAGATTCCTCCGAATCGTCCCTCACTCGGTGCCACCAACTCAGCAACCAGATCCAGATGCCGTGAAGACGCGGGTCGAAGCAGGGAATCGTGTTCCTCAAGAGCCTGACTCGCCAACACGTGGCCGTCGGAGGCTAGGAAGTCGCTGCCTTTGTCGTCATTCTCCTCGGATTCTGCAGGGGACATGTTGCCTCGTCGATCACTAAGGTGTTGCGGCCAGATCCGAGCCACGCGGTCCAAAATGACGACAAGCGATCTGCCCTTTGCCGCGCAGGGAAATGTGACAGTTCCGACTCATTGCGAACGATTCGCGAGAACCTGGAGAACTAAACGGCGAGTCTAATTGCGACGGCTCCGGCTTTTGCCTTGACCCTACCCTTGCCGGACCGGTTCTGGATCCAGCTTCATTGGAATAGGTTCCGAAATAAAGTGCGCTGAAGAGCGCGGCTGCTTTCCGCATTCTCTAAATCTGGAATGACAGGTCTACTAACGTCAGCCGGTCCGGAAGAGGGTGTGATTACTGCTTATTCTTATTCAACCCCTCCAAGAGGATTTAAGGTCTTTAGGCTAGAGTCTGGGTTTGTGAAGAGCAGAAGTAGAAAGTGTGATAGGGTAATGCACGGTTTGGGGTTTAGGGGTTTAGGTGATTAAATACTATAAAGATTCATGATAAGACTGATGGCCATCAATAGCACGATTTTAACACTAGCAAAACTGGTGTGATCAGTTGAAGCTTGGAGGATCTAAAAGCACTCACTTTGACCTCATACAGGGGCACTGAACAAGTGTAGCCCTAAAGGAAAAAACTGTAACTATTCCGAACCCTGCATTATAGCACCCTTGTGGTAACCTACCACCCTTAAAAGAAATAGGATTTGTAACTCTTCCGGCCCCCATATCGGTGGTTCTCCTGATTAGGGTCCCTTTGTAGCTCCCCAAAGTAGTACCCCACCCTTGTTTTGAAGGACCCTAAAAGGGACCCTAGTTTAGACAACTACCCTTTCTAGTGGCCTTATAGAGACCCTTAAAGATACCCTTATAGATCTCCAGGATGATCCCTAAAAGAGACCCTAGTTTAGAAGACTACCCAGAGGGGACCCTGAAGCCGAGAGCCAGGGAACCCTGACAAGCCTACTTGGAGGTTCATGGGTGGTGATAAGGGTTCCTTTAAGGGTCCCTTTAAAGGGATCTATAGGGATTCTTTGTGGGTATAGGGTTTAGGGTCTACTTGGAGGTTCATGGGTGGTGATAAGTCCCCTAATATGGGTTTAATTACAGTTAACCTACTTATAACCCAGTTATGAGTGGAGTTCTAAGTCCCCTAATATGGGGTTAATTATAGTTACCCTACTTATAGCCCCACTTATAACTACCCATGAACCTCCAAGTAGACCCGAAACCCCATACCCAAAAAGAATCCCTATAGATCCCTTTAAAGGGACCCTTAAGGGAACCCTTATCACTACCCATGAGCCTCCAAGTACTGGGGTTTAGGGGGCTACAAGGGAGGGGTCGATGGCTTTAAGGGTTTCCGGTTCAGGGTTTAGGGTTTAGGGTTTCTACTAGTATTCCTATAAGGGTACTAGGGCTGCAAGCGGTTGGGGTTTAAACGGTTTCTAAGCGGGTTCTATGAGCGCTACTCTTAGAGCACTTTAGGGCTTCAATGCTTCTATGGGTTTAGAGTCCAGGGCTTGTATACTTGGAGGATCATGGGACTTAGTAAGTATGGTTATAAGTACCTTAATTGGGGTTATATGTGATGAGAGGTATAGTTACCTTAATTATAACCCTAGTTACAATTCCCATGATCCTCTAAGTAGGGTCTTTCAAAGCTTGATAAGGGTTTTGCAACCGCTGCAGGCTTAGGGGTGCTGCTTGCCTGAAAGCTCTAGACTCAGATCTGTCGGGACTGTCAGCCGAAGCTCTAAAGGGGAGTGTCCGACAATTAGGGGTATCTTATATTTCGGTCCTTATAATAAGGACCCCAACTTTAGGGTACTATATTAGGGTCCCCTATTTTCGGAAACTCTCAGATCCTATGCCAGGGTTTATGTTTGGGGTCTTGGGGTTTTTGGAGCTTATGGTGTTGATTCGGTTTCGGGATTGATTGTTGGGCACAGTAAACCCTAAACACCCTAAGCCTAGTAACCCCTATAGGAATCTTCATAGAACCCTTAAAGAAATCCTTAAAGCCCTAAACCCTAAACCCAAATGACCCTAAACCCTAAGCTCTATAACCCCCTCATAGATCCCCAAAAAGAAACCCAAGAAAACACCTACACTCCAATAAAGCACAACCTTCCCTATCAAAGAGCAGCTCATCCTGGAACTCGGCCGTCCAAAGCTCCTTAAGCTGCGGAGTCTTCCGGGGCTCAACCGTCGGGGCATCTGAACTACGGTTGATGGTATAAATCCTGCATTACCTTAAGGATCCTAAACTATGGGAATTATGGTATATTCCTCATTATGGGTAATGCAGGATTTATATCATCAACCGTGCGGCTTCCTTAGAATATCTGCAGCAGTTTCCTTATAGTCCGAACTGAAGGGGGCCCTTGCAGTCTGAACTTGGGGTCCTTGCACCAGGGATCGATCCTATTCGGGTTTAGGGTTTGGGGTTTAGGGATTAGGGTTTAGGCTTCGGGTGTATATTGGCTGTTTTGCGCAGGTTGCTGTGGACTAGGATGTGCCATATGGAGTTGAGTACGATGCTGGAGGGCATGCGAGGGTTTTGCAGGTTCAGTAATGAATCGAGGAAAACCCCTGCCTCCGTCTGAGGACCTGCTTTACGTTTCAGGAAAAACGCCCCCGAGTGGCCAGGATGGACATCGAGGGGTCGCCCGCATGCATCTTCCGCAAGTCGATCACAGCACCTCAATCATCGAGAATGCACACCCAAAACTGCATGCTCGACCTTACAAGCCTGTACTTTTAGGTGAAAAGAGCTGGAGAGCTCATCGGTGCCAGCACAACTATCCACATCACAACCATCCCCATCAACATCTGTCCAGCATCACCATCGTGACAAGGCAAAGCATGCCACCACCTCTATCAACATGAGCTGCAGCGACTACACTAGGTGTTGCTATTGCCATTGCTGTCGGTGATGTTGCTGTGCTGAAGGACCATTGCTGTCATGATTCTGCTCGTCAGTACAACACCGGTAGTTGTGCAAGTACTGGTACGTAGTACTGGCTTGCTAGACTTGATGCCAATGCTTGTCGTCGTATGTTTTGTTTGTGTGCTCGCTTGTTTGTTTCAGGGTTGTCGTCGCAGTCGTAGTCGTCCCAGCGCCATTGTTGAAGATGATGGCGACTTGGTAGTATTTCTAGTTCATTGTTGGGAAAGGATTAAAAATTTACATGTTTATTCCCGTTGGGTTGAAGTACCCATAAACATGTAAAATGTTACCCAACTATGACAAAGATTTACAGTTGTTGCTACCGTTCCTCTTGTGGTGCTCTTGCCTCTGAGGAATTGGTCACTAAAGTCGCGCCTGCAGGCTCGCTGATCTCCTTGAGTACGTTTCCGGAGCCTGGCAGAGGAGGCTCGAAGTTGTGCAGGCTCTATTCGGAGGCCTCAAAAG